GTAGTTGCTGGTGTCTGCGTATCGTGTACTACGTATGTACGGGCTATGAAATGACGAATCGTCGTGTTGGATGGGCCATACAATACACCGAGCGAGTCATTGCGGCCGATGGCCTTGCTTGTGATGTATTTTTTTTTGGCAGGTTGCTTTGGTGTACTGAGCTGCGAAAGGCTTGCATATGCATATGATTACTGACGACGAGTGCTTCGTGCAGAGTTCTCCGTTGGCGTGCATGTTATGAGCATGCCCTTGTGCTCATGTGAGTGGGATTGAACCAAGTCAATGGGGCAGGGGTTGGTTTTGAAGTGGCTGCGTTCAGTTCACCACATCTCTGGGGCCGACATGTCTACTTTTTGGAGTTGTGTGTGTGATGCTGAAGGGAGTAGCTCTTTTCTCTTGATGAAGTTGACTGACGAAGAGGAGGACTCCAAAGCAGATCTGTACCTGTTGTTCTTGCTTGCTTGGCCAGTGTTGAGATAGGCCGCTGTACAGGGAAACGATGGGCGGCGTGAATAGAGATGCCAACAAGGCAGACGAGTTACGAAGATGAAGTCATATATGATTCGAGAGACGCTTGTTGTTGTTGGATTGTGTTGTTCGTTTCAAGTCACACATTGCGTCTTCCTCCCTCCAAGGCCTCGTTAGTGTTGTGATGTTCATGTCACTCCTTCACGCTCTTGTATGTGAATACTCTTGTTTGTAGCGGTTTGGCATGAAACTTGTATTTTTGCCACCAGGGCCTCCGGAGCAAATGCTTTGTTAGGATATAAGATGGAGAAAGAGATAGAGAGAGAGGCTGCGAGGGGGTTCTGTGATTTGCCTCTCTCTTTTTTTTTTTTCTTCTCCCTGCTTTGATGGTGCGGTCGTGGAGTTGCCACTCCGGGGTGACGGGATGTGGGAAAGGGGGTGAAAGACTTGAGATTCGTGGTTGAGAGGTGTGTGTCGTGCTTGGTAGTGGGTATGTAAAAAGGGAGGTTTCACACTGAGGGTTGATGCTTGATAGATTCTCAGGGGAAGCAATGAAAGGCGCATATTTGTGTTGTGGTAGGGGTTGTCCTGGGTTGTGCTTGTATTATGACTGTGTATTGTAACCTCCCCTATGACTACTTGACAACATCTCTCTTCCCTGAAAGATGAATGACAGTTCTGGATACATGTTTCTAAGCGTTATCATAGCGTAGCATAGCATCAAAGGAGGAAAGAACGGGACTCTTGTTCGTCGTGAAGCGACTGGTCTTTATAGCGAACAACTAGATGCTCAAAGACAGATGGGGGGGAAGCAATGCTTCTTGGATGACAGCTTGTGTCAGATCAAATGCCGCCGACACATCGCGGCGTGCAATGTGGGACTTCGTGAAGAACAAATGATTGATATTTCATGTACTCCGGAATCGGCAGCTACTTTTGTGACCAGATCTATCTTCCTCGACCTTTTCATGGTCTATATGTGAGTGATCCCCCTATGTCTTAGAACGCCGAAATATATGCTGCTCGTGTAACATAAACATGCTGGCATGACCATGTAACCGCCAGTCGCTGGTAAGCCAAGCTCAGATCAAGGCAACTTGTAGGACTTTGATGATGGACAAGAAGGAGTAGATGAAAGACGCAAAATCCCACGGCTCAGTTCAGTGGTGTTTAACTGGACCACGACGCCACCCATCGAGGCAGATAGAAGCGCACATTCTCGTACACCAAAAAGGTGACCCACGTCGAGGGCATGACGCGGACGACGCCCGGGATCAGGCCGCGGTAGAAGCCGCGGATGCCCTCCTGCTGCCACGTCATGCGCACGACGCCCCTGAAGCCCTTGCCAAACTTCTCGTCGGCGTGATACACCTGCAAGCGGCTGCGGAGCACCTGGTAGGGATATGTGACGGCGCCGGCGACGAGCTTGGAGACGGAGGAGATGGCGACGGTGGCCTCGGTGGTCATGCGGCCGTTGTCGGTGCCCATCCTCTTGCGGCGCGCAAAGTAGAGGCGCTTGGCGGGCTCGTAGACGGCGAACTGGACGGCGCCGTGGGAGACGCCAATCATGGAGACGCCGAGGCCGCGGTACAGGCCCGAGACGCCCTCGGTGGCGTAGATTGTGCGGAAGCCGGACCACATGGACGGGTAGGCGCCCTTTGCGCCCTTGTCCGAGGCCAGCATGCGCGTCTTGACGACCCAGATCGGGTTGGAGAGGACGCTGGTGGCGGCGCCGGCGAGGGCGCTGGCGACGAAGAAGTCGGAGGGCGTCGGCCGGGAGGTGCCGCGGGCGAGGGTGAGCAGGTCCTCGAAGCGCGTCTTGAAGAAGAAGAAGGAGGCCCAGCTCAGGGCGTTGCCGGACAGGTTCGGGACGAGGCCGCGGTAGAGGGAGGAGAAGGGCTTGGGGTTGTTGGACAGGGAGCGGAGCATGGCGACGGTGGAGAGGTTCTGCGAGGCGGCAGAGGCGGAGCTTGTGCTGACTGCGTGATGAAATTTGTTAGCATGGTGGTGGTGATAATGACGGTGGTGATGTTGTCTTGTCTTTGTGCCAGCTCTCCTTGTCCTTCTTCTTCTTCTTTTCTTTCTCCTCCTCCTCCTCCTTCTATTTCTTCTTCTACTTCTTCTTCTTCTTCTTCTTCCTCGAGTGCCTCTCCCTTTCGCCCCTCGTCTCGTATGCCTCCATCACCCTCTTGACTCTCCAACCTCCGGGGGGACAGGAAGGAAAAAACTCACTCTGCATCCGCGTCTTGACAATGTCCAAAGGATGCACCACCAGCGTCGCAATCGTGCCCGCGCTCAGTCCGGCAATCGACTCGACCAGGGCCGGCGAAAGGCCTCCATCATGGCTTCCTGGCATGGAGCTGTTGGCATCCGAGCTGCGTCCGGTCACATTGTCGGGCGGCGCGAATGCGACGGGCGAGTGCTCGCTCATGTGGAGAGAAGAGAGAGAGAGAGAGAGAGAGAGAGAGAGAGGAGAGCCGTGGGTATTCGTACTGGCTTGCGGCCCTTAGGTAAGGGGATCTTCCTCAAGATCTTTCGCCTCTCGAGTAGTTCTGGCCTAGAGATTGAACCGGTCGGTCACTGGCGGGTAGCGGCGGGCGGTTATTTTTCCCAAGAGTTTTTTTTTTTTTTTTTTTTTTTGTCTTCGCTTTTGCGGTCGGTCTGAGTCGGGTCGGAGACTATGGGCCGGTATTTGATTATGCGTTGGTGAGGCTGTTTGTATTGTGAGTTGTTTTGCTGTGGTTGTCTCTTTGACTTGGACTGAGTCAATGCCTAGATAGTCATGCCTCTCATTGGCCGGCAATTTGTATCTTTGATGCTCGTTTATGGTGTTTGCGACTTTGCCGGCTCAACTCCCGCCATATGTGGTAGAAGCTCGGGGTTGCAATCGTGTCCCTGATAAGACAGAATGCGGTAGATAAAGGCGGTATCGGCGCATAGACGCCTTGTGCTTATGTACCTGCATGGCAAAATCTACCTACTTAGGCATGATGATAGGAGTGATAATCACATTCACGCAATGCTAACAGCGTTGACAAGGGCATGTGCAGAGTGGTTTCTTGGTCCGATTACAGAGCAGCAGATGGTACATTCCTAGTGTTACATGGCAGCATATCGGTGCGCTTCGTGTCCTCCCTCGGGTCCCTTCGGCCTTCCAAGGTCATCTTCGTATTATGTAGGAGTATCGCTCTGTCCCACCCTGCCCGTCTTCTTCCAAGGTAATGCGAAGACTACCCAAACGCCACGGATGCCGGGTATCGAGCTTCTCTTTGGCCGTTGAGACCCGTGTTCTGCATTCCCCTTGTCCATCTCATTGCGCCGAAATTCAATCGTGTATCGTACAACAACGCATGGCCACTATTCGTCTTTCGATTACGAGAGGGGAGAGAGGAGGCTGTGTGTGTGCGTGTGAACGGTCATGTTAGCGACAAAGCATCTTGTATGCACTTCCGATAGGAGGGGACTCGGCGTACCGGATGACTGAGGGACGAGGGTCGCTGCGAGTGTAGCCTAGATCGAGACGAGCAAGCGTTAGAGTCAAGACTTCGTAGATACCGTGCGTGCGCTTCGAGATCGCATACCGAGGTAGAGGATCAGAGGAAGGTAGCCACTATCGCAATGGTCAGCGGACAAACGTCGAGAAGAGCGGGCATATCCAGGGGTGTTGTTGCATACTAGTGAATGGCGACTCGAGAAATGTCAATGAGCTTGGCAATGCGCTCCTGTAAGAGTCAAGAGTTAGACCGGCTGCTCCATCATCATCATGACCATCATGACCATCATCGTCATCTTCATCCAGCCCCATCATCTCTCTCCAGCTGCCCCCTCTTCGGTCCCGTTCTTCCAGCTTCGCGCTCTTCGGAGATCGTACCTTGGACTCTTCTGACAGGGCAAACATCTTGTATCTTGTATGTCGGCAGGCGTCGGGGTCGAACAGCAGAAAACAGCCGGTTTGGAGATGCAAAGTTGCGCAGATTGATGGATGCGTCCTGGAAGCTCTTGCAAGTGTCCCACCGACTAAGAAATTTTGAGACTTGCATAATGACGGTACGTACCGCCACTAGCGCGACCGCAGGCTATGCGGTCATCCATCACTAAGCCGCTTGTGGGAAAGCGCAAGCTAATCGGCGACGGCTCAACTCCGGCCGATCTGATAGGCAAGGCTGATAAGTAAGGTAGAGAACGGTACAAGGTACCACTTGGTGCTGCTGCGAATCATTTCGGTGGTTGAGATTTCCGAGCTTCATCCAAAAAGCTGCATCAAACGCGACGACGAATACTTAAAGCCATCTCGCTCGATTTACCACCCTTTCCGTCTGCTATCGGCGCCATATCAGGAACCAATTCCTATCGGTAGAGCATCAGGCGTCTGTCTATTATTCCGTTTCTCGTGAGGCCGCGGCCCACAAACCGTCACAATGGCAGTCAACAGGCATTGGTAGGTTCTCTTCAACTTTGCTTCAACCCCCCCAATCCATCCTCTTTCGCGCCCATATATTGAAACCAAACTAACCCGCGACTCTCTCTTTCTTCACAGGGAGCAAGACAAGGAAGCCACCGTCTACATCGGCAACATCGACGAGCGCGCGACCCCAGCCATGGTCTACGAAATCATGCTCCAGATGGGCCCCATCCACAACATCCACATGCCTCGCGATCGCGTCACCCAGACGCACCAGGGCTTCGGCTTCGTCGAGTTCCGCACCCCCGCCGACGCCGAGTACGCCGCCAACGTCATGAACGGCATCAAGCTCTACGGCAAGTCGCTGCGCGTCAACAAGGCCAGCGCCGACAAGCAAAAGGCCGCCGAGGTCGGCGCCGAGCTCTTCATCGGCAACCTGGACCCCATGGTCGACGAAAAGATCCTCTACGACACCTTCTCGCGCTTCGGCCCGCTGCTGAGCATCCCCAAGGTCGCGCGCGAGGACAGCGGCGCCAGCAAGGGCTTCGGCTTCGTCAGCTACGGCGACTTCGAGAGCAGCGACGCCGCCATTGCCAACCTCCACGGCCAGTACATCCTCAGCAAGGAGGTCTCGGTGCAGTACGCCTTCAAGAAGGACGGCAAGGGCGAGAGGCACGGTGACCCGGCAGAGCGAGCCCTCGCCGCCCAGGCAAAAGCAAGAAATCTCCTGCCTGAGGCCCAGCCCCTGCCTCAGGCTTTCCTCATGAACGGCTCTGCCGCAGCAGCTCCCCCTCCTGCTGCTGCCGCCGCCGCCGCCGCCGCCGCAGTCCCTCCGACCGCCCCAGCCGGCTTCGACTCGAACCCGCTGGCTGCCATGCCCCCCGTTGGCGTACCTCCGCCGCTGATGGGTACGCCCACGCATGCCAATATCCCGAGTGGCTTCGCTGCTCCTCCGCCTCGCGGACCTTCTCCCTACAATGCCGGCCCCGGCCACGTCCCCAACGGCTTCGGGCGAGGCTCGGCTGCCCTCCCGCCAGCACCTTCAGGCCTACCCGCGCGGCCCCCCTCCATTCCGAGCGGATACACGAACCCTGCGGACTTCCATCCGTCTGCCTTCCGCCCTCCGTCTGGTCCCCCGGGCAGCGCCCCGCCGCCGCAGGGTTTCCCTGCTGTCCCGCCTCCTGGCTTCCCCGTGCCTCCTCCACCTGGACCTACGGGGACGCCTCCCGTGCCGCCTCCGTTCATGCCACCTCCGGGCTTCCAGCCTCCGCCTGGCTTCGGCCGTCGATAAGAACCACCACTCACCCATCTTTCGTTTACTCCTTAGTTAATGTTTATGATACCTGGCCTGAACAGATAGACAGTGATTCGGATCAGGTAAGAGGCAAGGGCCATGAAAAGAAAAGGAAACATTTAGACACAATCCATTGTATACTTCAGACTTTCTAATGTTTCGAAGCTCCAAAGGGAAAAGGGCATAACGAATGATATCACGACGCCCTCGGGGACTCGCAGCTTCTTCTTTCCACCAGTAGTGTCTCGAAATCCTTCGAAAGCCTCCCCTTGTCCTTTTTGCTCCCAAGTGTAATATTGGCCATCTTTTTATAAGGTCAAATTAACGTACAGAATGTTTTTACTTTTCTTTTATCTCACATATGTTTCGTTGTTGCCCTTGATGTTTTATCTCGTCCTCTTGCGATATACCAGGATTCCATGCTGTATAAAAGCCCAACCGAATGGTCCTTTTAAGGTCCAGAAGATCATTGTTCTAGTTAGTTAAAACAAAAGTGTAAGAACAACCGAGATACCAATAAAATGAAGAACCACAAGAACAAAACCCATTCAACTCCTGTGCAAATCTCTAAACTCCTTTACACAAAGTCTTTTTTTCCATTATCCACTTCTTGACATTTCACATTCGGCGAAAAACAGCATTCCTCTCACAAGCTCCGGGCAAACGCGTCTCTCGCCTCCTCGGTCGCCTTATCCCACTCCTGCTTGGCTTCCTCTCTCTGCCCCTGCACCTCGTACGACTGCGCCAGCATGCCGTCCGCCACGCTCTGCCACAGCACGTTGCCGCTCCTCTCCGCCTGCTTGGCCGCCGCCCGGGCGCTCTTGAGGGCCTGCTCGCCAATGACGTTCTCGAAGAAGCGGCTGCGCATGATGCACAGCGTCACGGCGGCTCCAAGCACATTGCTAGTGACCTTGGAGCCCGCCATGGCGGCGTGGATGTGCTGCTTTTGCTGGTTGAGCTGCTGGGGCGGTTCCGTCACGAGGGCCGCCATGACGTTGTGGTAGGCCGTCCGGAGATCAATGTTGCTGTGGTTGGCGCAGTGCGGCTGGAGCTGCTCGATGAGGTCCCGCGTTTCCTGGTCGTTTCGACACGACGGGTGCTGCATGATCCAGAGCCGGTTCAGGCCCGCAAGGAGCGCAACCTCTTGTTGCCCGGCTTTAATTCCCGTGTTGCCCTGCTGTTGGACCTTGAAGCGGTCGTCGAGGAAGATGTCGAGGGCGGCTTGCAGGCTGCCGATGCCCTGGTGGTAGACGCCCTTTAGATAGGTGGAGAGCAATCTCACAGTCGGCTGCGTCGAGGGCGAGACCAGGTTCTCGAGATTCTGAAGCAACTGCTTGACCGTTGACCATTGGCAGTGACTGGCAGCTACGAACCCCAGGAGGACAGTCAAGTAAGCCTGTGCCTCTATTCGCCAGGCCCGCTGTTTGATTGCCACATTTAGGGGAACAGGGGCGCCGTATGGTATGCCGGCCGTTGAGGCGTCCCCTAGGTCGGCGTGTTAGTGACCATGCGTTGCCACGTAATCAGGCTCAAGTCGACATATTTGCGCTGTGACTCACATGTTTCGAGAATCTTTAAGCCTTCCTTCCAGAATTCAGTTGACCTGCGACCCTGTGAGGAAGGCTTGTGAAAGTTGACCAGGCCGCTGATAGTAAACCTACACCATGTTAGCATTCCTCTTATAACCGAGAACAGGCACCACCTTTGCAAAACACATACACGAGCGACCGCAACTCCATCTTGGTCATGAAAGTCATTACGAGGTAATCCATCTCGCCCTCGCCCTCACCAACCCGCAGTATGGCCTGCGTATCGTCGCTCACGGTCCTGCCCGCCGAAGGCTCCTTCTTGATGGGCACCATGAAATCCGACTTGACGTTATGCCACCCTTCACAGTCGTCCAGACACACCTGCAGCTGTCGCAGCTTCTGCGCCGTATGATCGGGGCTTTGGTGGTGCAGGCTTGCGGCAACTTCGAGCAGCATCGTCATCATCGTGAGTTGTGTGATCTGCACCGATGGGTCGAACTGGTACTTGGCCACTTGCGCAATGCAGGCCTGGATCTTCTCCATGTTTCCGTCTTTGGCCGTCTTGAGGAGGGTGAAACCCTCTATCAGCGAGGCGAAGACGGTCAGCGCGATGTCGCCCCTGGCATTGGCGACGTTCTGGATGGCTCGTATGTTGTCGAGGGCGCCCGCGTCAGATACGCTCCCAGTGTCTAGGTAAAAGGAGGCCTTTAACAAGCGGAACGCATAGTACCATGGAACATGCTTGAACCTGGATATGCATATCAGCCTTGTGCGATGTTCAAACAAGAATGGAGACGACCTACACTTCGCAATTAGAGATGTGGCCATCTATAGCTTTCAATGCCGCTTTGTGATTCCTCTGGAATAGGACCTTGAGCATGAGATACTGCATGCAATACTTCAAATCAAGCATACGGTGCTGGTTGGCATCCTGATATTAGCGGCTTGTCCCATTAAGAATAACGTCTCGAGATAGTCCACAACTCACCTTGTCGCACAGCGTAATACCCTTTGCCAGAGCCGTCTCCGCCTCCATCAGGTTCTCCGTCTCTTCTTGCAAGAGAGCAGCGTACCTCAACCGTACGCGCGCTTCTTCTCGCGGCGCAAGTGGGTTGTTGCTCTGCAACGCAGCCTCCAGACACGACAATGCCGTCGCGATCAGCCCTTGGTACTCTTCCACTTGGTTCGGAGACAGAGTCATTGCCACATCGTGCGAGGCATTGCGCGCCTTTTCAATGCACTCCTCCGCTACGGCGATCATGTAGGGCACCGGGTTCATAGGCCGCGGCTTGGGTGTAATTGCAGGCGACTTCTTGGTGATACTGGGGGACCTCATGGACAGCGAGGGCGAGTTGGTAACTGAAGAATGCGGGCTGGGCTTGATGCGAGCGTCGGGGACCTGTTGAAACACTCGAGTCGCAATCGATTCATCTTCGTGCTTCTCCTGCTTGATCGAATTCGTACTGGGATATATGGGCTTCACGGAGACAGACTCCTTCCGCTTTTCTTGAATCGCAAGGGGTGTCGCCGTCGAGGTCGTCGTCGTTGGTATAGGTAGGGAGGTAATCGGCGGCTGCTTCTGGATATCCTGCAGGTTTACGTAGTGTACCTGCTCTTGCTGGAGCTCTGAAGGATGTACATATTGCGGTTGTTGAGGTGGTTGGGGCGGTTGAGGCGGCTGGGGTAGTTCAGGAAGCAGGTCCTTCTGCGGCTGCTCGGCGTTCTGGATAGGTTGAGGTATGGGAGGCTGCAGTCGCTGCGGCGGCTGTGGTTGCTGAGGTGGCGTATACGGTTGATGACGCTGCTCTCCTTGCGGTTGCTGCTGAGACTGTTGTCCTTGCGGCGCCAGTTGAGGTGCTGGTGACAGCTGGGGCGCGGGTGACGGCTGAGGTGCGGGTGCGGGTGACAGGTGCGGCGCGGGTGACAGGTGCGGCGCGGGTGACAGGTGCTGCGGCGGCTGAGGTGTATGCTGCGGTCGTGGAGGCGCCGATACCTGACTTCTCATAGGCGACGGTTGCGGTGGCAGCGAGGGCGCAGGCGACGGCGTATGGGTTTGGGTGTGGTATATCGGAGACGGCTGATGGCGCTGGACATGGTGGACTTGCTGTAGAGGAGGCTGTTGCGGTAGCGGCTGGTGCGTGAGGGCTTGGTGCTGCATCGGCGGCGGCGGCTGCGTCATGTTTGTCATGGACTGGTGGTGCTGCTGAAACTGCTGTTGTTGCTGTTGCTGCTGCTGCTGCTGCTGCCAGACGCTGCTTGGCGGCAGATACTGGCCCGACGCATCGTACTCGGGAAACCCGTTGAAGCCAATGGCGTATGGCTGCTGGAACTGCTGCGAGGTCATGAACATGCCGTGCTGGTGCTGAGGCTGCGGGCTCTGGTGATAGAACTGCTGCTGCTGCTGTTGCTGCTGCTGCTGGTGAGGCATGGCGCCTGCATACATGGACTGCTGGCCATGGTGAAGCGCCGCCACCTGTTGCTGATGCTGCTGCGGTATCTGCTGCTGCTGAAAGTGATACCCGCCCGCCGGATGCCCGTACATCTGCTGCTGCTGATGAAGTTGGTTATGATGGTGATGCTGCTGCTGCTGCTGCTGCTGCTGGTCTCCCTGGCCAGGAAAGGCCTGTCCCGAAGGCAGCGTCCCCCGGAACGACATCGCACCGTCAGCATCGGCCGCCGGTGTTGCTGGTGCGAGAATGAAGTCCTGCGCAACAAAGTCTCATGCTTTCCTCCTCGTCGTCGACTTCATTGGCCGGTAGGAAGTAAGAAGAAGAAGAAGAGGTTGGGGCGCGTGCGCGCACGGGTGTTACGCTTCCTCTTCTCTTCTCTTCTCTTCTCTTCCTCCCTCCCTCTCTTTTTTCTCTCTCTCTCCCTCTCTTCTTTCAAAAATGGCTCTTACGAAAACTCTTCCTGGTCTGTACAGGTCTCGTCGGCTCGGAGGTGCGCTGTGGCTGGTCTTCGATGAGGTTATTCGAGGCGCGTATACGAGGGCCGAAGGGACGTGCTTATGTTGTCTGTGCCAAAATCGCAGGGCGACAGACTTCCGTTATTTCTCAACTTGACGAAACCTCGATGCTCGTTGCAGTCTCTCTCGAGTTCGCGTCCAGAAAATGGGAGAAGTCGATCAGGAAAAGAGAAGAAGAAGGAAAGGGAAAAGAAAGTCTTTCCCTCTTCCGGCCGTCAAAGAAAGTCGCAGGTCGAGCGTCGCTTAGTTTCGAGGCGTCGAATCGCTGAGAGGGCTGGCGGGAGTCACTGTGCGAAGATCAGCCGGCCGTTGTAGGCGCGCGCGCGAACTCCAAAAATTTGATTAAATAGTAGTAGTAGTAGTAGTACTAATGGTAAAGTGAGTAAGGGAGAGAAAGAGAGGAAGAGGCGCCGTGCTAGCTATCACATGGCTGGCTAATGTTGGTAGGCTTTTTTCTGGTTGCAACTTTGGGGATAGTAGAGAGGTACCTTGAACGCGGAGGGAACTGCGCGCAGATCCGGATGTACCTGGACAGACACCCGAGTGCGACCTCCCGTGTTTCGAGGCCGATGGCAGTGGTGGCTTACCCTGGACTTTGATGGATGTTTGGAGTGAATTGAGCAATGGAAATAAACTACAGAGATGCATCATATCAATGAGATGGGGTAGGTGCGTTGCAGTTGGCAGTGGGAGGATGTTTCACACTACATGAAGGTGAGTTGTAATATATTGCTTTATTGGCTTGTTCTAAGGTACTCCCAATTTCAAGTATCTTACATATCGACACTGAATCCAAGCTACCAGCACCGCACAGAGAAGCATAGTTCAGCCTTATTTGCCATCACCATTGGCACTTTTGGGACATGAAATCACCAGCACAAGCTTAGGGCAAATCTTCGTACATTATTAAAACATAATTCGACATAAGGTATGGCTAAAGGCAAGGCAGGTAGGTAAGAGAGTAAGTTGCCTGATCAGCGGCTTCTGTCGCCGCAGGCTGTCCAAAGCTTCGTAGGTAGGTTACATGACATACATTGCGGCGTAACGACGTGAGTTCTTTCAACGCGTGACAGCGGACCCGGCTGTGGGGTTCTTGAGACAAGATCGAGAAAAGAGAGAAGAACAAGAGGATAGGAAAAGAAAGCAAGACAAATCGTAGCTAAACGCCGTGACATGCATATGCACCATATACCACCCAAAATCATCACACTTTTGCCGTGTGTTGGGTACAATGCGGGAAGGCCCAAAACAAGGGCGGGCCGAGAAATGAAAACAATTGTGTGTGTGTTTGTGAGTGTGAGTGTGAATGGCTGCTTAACCCACGCAGTTCCACTCAGCAAAGACGCACCATCGAGCGGTGCGGTCAGCCAGCACCAGGCCTCTCCAGACGCCCTTCTCAGAGCACTTGATGATCGTCTCCCAAGTGCCACCATCGCTGACCTCTTCGTCTGGGGACCTCGAGCCAACGCTGATGCCCTTGCGGTCTTCCTTTCTCATAAGACGGAGGATCTTGCCTCCAGGGGTCTGGATGGCCAGCTTGGCGGGCTTCTTTCCGGCAACCGTGCCGCTGGCCGAGCTGGGGTTCGAGCCGCTCGCACTAGAAGCGTTGACGCTCATGGCAGATGACGGCCGAGCAAAGGGGACTGGGCTTGTTGACCCAGGATTCGATGCCGGCGTAAGAGCCGACTGCGCTCCGTTTGAAAGGGAGCTGGGGTGCTGCCTGATGGCGAATACAAAGGTGTTGTTCAGGGCCAGCTGCTGACACTGAGGCTGGACAACGTAGATATCGTGCCGCTGCGCATGAGGAGTCGGATGTCGCGTCACGAATTGGTAGGGTGGATTCTCACCAACGTGGATGATGGGTAGAGTAAAGGCTAAAGGATGGGGAATGTCTTTTATGCTCTGCATCAGGCCCCTCTTGCCGGCGTAGACCTTTAGCATGCCTTGGCCTTCGTCGCCAGGGAGCAGTGCCTTGATGGTGTATCGCTTGACGCCGCTGAACCACTCGGCCTGAGCCAGTGCCTTCTTCTTGACAACGTCGCCGCTCTCAAAGAGGTCGCCGTCGTGATCTCTGGACAAGGCGCGCGCTTCCACCTCGGCCACAATCTCGACATCGCTGGGGACGTTGAGCTTGATGTGGACCATCTCAAGATCTTCTATCCTAGTCAGACTAGTGTTATAGTCGACCAGCTCAAGGCAATTCTTGAAGTACGCCGGGCAGGCACATGGCAGGTTGAGCAGCGTATCATAGTCGACAGGAGGCACGATATGTTGCTGGTCATGATGCTCCGGCACGTGGGTCCAGCAGATCTCGGACGGTCGTGTGAGGAACCACCAAAAGTCGGCCGATGACCCGGTTAAGCTGGAGTACAGCGCTCGCTTGGGGTTCGAGGGGCTTGCCAGGCAGGTGTCGATCATGCGCCACTCATCGTCAACAATGACTGCGTTCCACCAGTGGTTGGATCTGGGCATCACGTGGAGGTCTGCTATGTCGCCGGGGGCCTTTAGGTAGCCCCTGACGACCTCGCAGTGAATCCCGACGGCAGCGCACATTTCCATGACGAGATAGGCATATTCTTCTGCGCAGCCCCTCTTTGCCTGGATAGTTCGTTGGGTGTCGGCGTCGCCTTCGAAATCTTCCTCCCAGCAGATCCTCTCGGCGACCCATGTGAAGATCGCGCGGAGGCGCTGCAGATCGCTCCTGTAGGGCCTGCAGATGTATGTCTGTGCCAGCGTCGTCACCGTCGTGCCCGGAGGCGGCTCCTTGATGTAGCGGGTGTTCTTGTCCACCTGGGCGAGGTTGATCATGTGGTAATTCTCCGGTTTGTGGACCGGCATGCCGTCCGCCCCTTCGTCGCCTTCGATTCCCTCATAGAGCTCATCAACGGGATTGAGGGTGGGATGGTCCTGCATCTGGCAGCGGTCCCTGCGCTCGGTCCGCTCAATCTTGCTGATTGAGTTGGAGCGGTTGACATCTCGACGGACCTGAACCCAGTCGACGCCGGAGCTCTGGCCCATCTCCCGGGCGGCATCGCGCCTAGAGCGAGCGCCGCTCAGCGAAAGCATGCTTGCCCCGGGGGTGACACTGTGCGGCTGCTGCAGGCGGGAAAATGGCGAAGATCTCACGGTGGGCACATGGCCGGCAGCGATACTACCGCGGTTGCTGGCGACGCCCGTCTTGGCCGATTCCAGTATCTTTTTGAAAATGTTTCTTTTCGGCGATTTAGGTGCTACAAGTCCGCCTAGACCGGGGGCTCCATCCTCGAGGAGGCCGACGTGGGAGATTGGCCGAGAGCTCCCACTTCCGCTCCCGCCTCCGGCATAATTGCTGGCATGACTGCTGTGGTAGGTAACGCCTGTGAATGGCGAGTCTGGCCGGTCTCCCTCGTCGTTCCGTGCGCTCAGCGAGCTCTGAGTACGTTGGCCTGATCGGGCCAAGCTTCCAGCGCTGGTTGCACTAAACGCACTGGCAGAGACGCCGCTCCAGAGGGTCCTGTTGCTGTTCTGCGTCGAGCTGCTGCTGTTGCTCTGATTGCCGGTAGAAGCGTTCGTCTGGGTCGTCTTCGTAGTGTTCGTGCGCTCGATGCGACCTCGCGACCTCTTGTCCAAGGATATCAGCTCTCCAAGTGTTGACCCTGCGGATGACTTTGGGCGCAGGTAGTGCTGCCCCTTGGGCGGCGGTGGCGGAGGCTTGTCATCATCCACGTCCACCACCGCCGGCATGCTCTGGCTGTGTTGGTGCATTCTCTGGATCTGCTTCTCCATCCTTTCCACGTAGTTGCTCAGCTGGGGCAGGTCGTAGCCCTTTTCGCGATGTGCGTCCTGGTGTGAGGTGTTCTGCGAAGAGGTTCCGCTCCATGTCTCGTATCCCTCGTCCAAAGCTATGCCCATTGATGTCAGAGGCCGCATGCGCTCCCGCTGCTTTTGCCTCTGCTGCGGTGCCACCAGGTCGAAAGACTCGGGGGACCAAGGATCAAACGACCCCTCTGGCGATTGCGCCTCCCGCCCACCCAAGCCTTCCAAGCGATCAAGCTGCTGCATCACGCCGTCCATCGCCTCGCGCAGCGGCGACGGCGTCATGTGGCTGCCCTCCATTGACGGTCGATGAGAACCTGTGCCCTTGGGTGTGTGATATCCGTCGCGCCGGGCCCCGTAGCTAGCATCGTCGTAGGAATTGTATGATGTCTGCCTTGCCAGATTAGGAAGATCGGTGTAAGAGCCATTGGAGGGATGACGAGGTGGGCTGTATGGCTCGTACGACCTCGAGACTTCCGGCCCATTGTAAGAGACGGTAGAGCGCATGATGTCCGCCGGGTTGTAAGAAACGGTGGAGCCCGTTCTCGTTATATCGGCGGGATTATAGGAAACAGTAGAGCCTGTTCTTGTTAAATCTGCCGGGTTATAAGAAACGGTAGAGCCTGTCCTTGCTATGTCGGCCGGGTTGTACGAGACGGTTGAGCCTTGTCTTGATAGGCTATGTTGATTGTACGACACAGTTGAGCTGTGCCTCGACAATGCGTGATAGCCTTGGGCCGCTCCATCGGAATCCGCCCGTGCAACGTGCCGGTGAGGAGGTGGTGCCGGAGGCGGTGGAGAGGCGCCTCTTGCCATATCGTCCATCCGGCTCGGCGGACGGCCGGCGGATGGCGCTGGTGAAGGGGCTCTCGATATATAGGCATTTGCTGGGGAGTGAGATGGGGTGGGAGCGCGAGCAATATCTTCGTGAGCACTTCTTGCAAGGACGAGCGCAGAGCTAGGGATCGGCGTCGAGTTCCCTCTTGATCGTGATGTCGTCGTTCCCACCCGAGACGGCCTCTCTTTTGCACGCGACGTCGGCGTCTCCCGAAACGTTTCTGGCTGTTTTGCTGTGGTATAATGCGGCGCCTTGGCATAAGCTTCGAATGGTTTTCGGAACGTCCTTGACTTTTGCGGCACCGACTTGGATGGGGATGCTGTCGGCGGTATGGGACTCGGTGTTTTGGTTGGCCGAAAGTCTTCTGGTAGTACCTCGACGAAGTTGGACGGAAAAGAGCCAACAGTCCTCCGATCTCGAAATAGCCTGCCAACCCACCACGAGCCGTCTCCTGCGTTCAAACACTCTATCAAGTCGCCCTCGATGAATCCCAGGTCGTGTTTTGACTGCATACAAACGTCAGCAAATGGAGGGCAGGGCAGCACGCGAACGTCACCACACGAACCTCGCCTCCCCAAGAATAGATGGCCCTGCACCAGCACGGAAATCGCGAAGGCAGCGGCGGCGGTGATAGCGCCATAGTGTCGACGGTTGCGCCACGCCTCTGTCGCCGAATTGACGAGCTCGGAAGACGTAGGAGAGCAGAACGAGCGGAGGAGGAGGAGGAGGTAGGGGGGGGAGAGAAGGCCTGGCAGGAAAAGGGAACAAAAAAGGGAAGAAAAAAAATTATGCCCGTTGTTGTTTATCCCTTGTCTGGCAGAGCAAGTATCGGGTCGACAGGACAGGACAGGACAGGTGTGGGCAGCTGATGGAAATCGACGCGTCCGGCCCCTCGCCCTCACCGAAACGATCAGAGTCGAGATGCTTTGGAGCCAGCCCGACAAACGCGCAGCTCGACTGGCGCAGCTGATGGTCGATCAGGGGAGAATGAAGACGGAATCCAGAGGTCAGAGACGGCGCATGTCCAAAAGTTGCGATCCAACGGCAGCAGCAAAAGGCATTGGACGATACCTCCGACAGACACCCTGGGCTCCTGTTGATGGCAAACGGGGGGGTTGGATGGAATGCTGGAGCTTGCTGCAGTTCTTTGTCTCTGCCAGTGCCGGGCTGCAGCGGTACCTGAGACGAGGTACCGAGTAATGAATGCACAGGGCAAGAGCAGGGCAGCTGGTACAAGCTGCAGGCCAGGCACAAGTACCGTACCTAGTATCCACGGTACCTACCTACAGCTTCGGCGTCGTGCAGGGCAGACAGGGCAGGCCAATCAAAGCATCACCAGTCTGCCCTGAGTTCCAGCGTTGTCGGTGCTGGGCTATTATGTACCTACCTTGATATTGATGGTTTGTGCCCGTACCAGGTAAACTGCGTTCTACCTCATTGTCTGCTCGTCCGTCTGTGTGCAACAAGGACAAGCAGGTGTCTGCAGGCGCCGGCCGTAGGTACCTAGTAGGTATGAGTCTTACCTATGGATGCACCTACGAATCGAGTCCTTTCTTGCCAGCTGCACAAGAACTGGAAACTTGGAAGCCAAGTGTCGGTAGCGTCGCAATTTTGACGTACATACAGTACCTCATCCTGACAGAGTATGGACAAGTCTCTCGGATTGGGCTGCATCAAGCGAGATTGCGGCAAGGCATGGACGCAGCTCCAAGGTCCGCTTCTCAGCATTTCCCCCCCTCCGTGCTGGAGCTGGAGCTGGAGCTCTAGAAACCTTGGAACGCAGCGGCGGGACTGGCCGAAGCAGCGCAACAGGAGCTGCCGGCGACGCCTTGCACACATGCACCCAGCGACAAAGTACCTAAGTGGGCGTTGCCGGGGCGACTCAGAGTCGGCAGCGAGTGGCTGGCGGAAGGGAGCGCGGCCCCTCTGTTAGCGCCAGGCGAGGCGCTGTGCGATGGCGCTAGCAGAGCCTTGAGAGGAACTGGACCTGCGAGCTGCGGCATGTACGAGTACATGTAAGCTGTAAGACGGGCGGGTGTGACTGTGTCGTGTGTCTGGCATTTTTGAGGTGGCTGGGGACCGGGCGGGTTCTCATGGCGACCGCTGCAGAGCCTCCCTTTATGGCGCATGCGCTTTTGCGTCGCCGACGATCAAATCAGATGCTGCCTATTCCCTAGGGAGATCTTAGTATGACGGCCTTAAGAGAGCCGGAGCCTGCTGTAGCCGAGGCCAGCCTGGAAGGATGAATGCAAGGCACATTAGTGAAGTGCTCGTCTGTACCTCATTTGAAGGCGCCTCCATCATGTACATGTAACGATGACGATGGCAGCTGAAGCTGTGGGTGCTAGTACCTACCGGTAATAGCTCCTTTGGGTGCTCCCTGTTGTACCGCGTCTACCGCGACTCGCAGATGACACGGTCTGGTCATGTACCTACTTTGCCTCGTACCTCTACTGAACTTCAGGTCAGCTGCTGCCATCTCCAGCCCCCCCGATATCCGCATGCACTGCTGGGTTGCCATGCAGCAAGAGCTGGAAACTGCATGGAGTGCTTTCGTGCATTGGCGTGGGCAACGAGCTGCATGTTTGTTGATCCCGTCTCTCAGCAGCTCAGCTGCGCGTTGCATCAAGGTATGCTGCATGTCGTCGCATTCTGGTCGTTCAATCCAGCAGATACTGTACCTAAAGGCCATCAGATGTGACCAGACTCTCTAGTACCGCTCATTCGGCAGTGCTCAGGCCCTCCACTTGCCAGAGCTCTCTCTAGGTAGCTCTAGCTGCCATGAAAATGACGACTAGCGGCTCTCAGACCAACGGGAGCTGCCCGCCAGCCACCACTACATCCAAGGTACTTATACACTTGTACCTGTCCGTCCTAAAGCGGGCCACTGTAAACAAAAGCTGAACCTGGAAGCCTTGAACCTTGACGGGAAGCTTTTCCAAGTCCTTACCCCTGATACTCTGGTACTTAGTAGCTGCCCGCAGCTCCACAACCGTCCGTTCGTTCTCAGTCCTTCAACCTTGGCCTCGACGCAATCAGAGTCGGGCTCTACCTTATTACTGCATGCTGTTTCTAGGTACAACTATTATACGATACTCCCTACTGTACTGTACAGCCGCGGCCACAGTCGACGCTCCTGAACGGATCGCTCTTGGCCTGTTTCGGCGCAGACGTCGACAGCGCCGAAACAACCTTGACCCTGAAGTTCCACCGCTCGCTGCTCAGTCCCGACGGGAAGCCAATTTCGACCAAGCTCGAGATTCCCAGCTCCACGACCCTTGCGCCCAGCTGCCTTGTTTCAATCTGCGCTGGGCCCTGCCCTGTCCGCCTGTGCCGGCGCTGGAGAGCGACCAAGGGATAGCAAATATCGCTTCAGCCTCGCCGAGATGGCAGACGGCGACAGTCTTGCCGACAACTACCAGGTGCTGGAGGAGCTCGGCCGTGAGTCCGGCCCTGTTGAGGACGAGCGCTTGTTTGCATCACATTGCTAACCCGCAACCACAGGAGGCAGTTTCGGCGTCGTCTACAAGGGCATTGACAAGATCACCGGCGAGACTGTGGCGATCAAACATGTGAGAGCTCTCTTGCTCGGCAGTGCGCTGATGTGCCGGAAGAAGAGCCTTGGATTAACCTTATCGTGCCTCGCAGATCGATCTCGAGTCCAGCGATGATGACATCCAGGACATCCAAGCCGAGATTGCTGTTCTCAGCACCTGTGCCAGCCAGTATGTCACCCAGTACAAAGGCTCCTTTCTGCGAGGCCACAAGCTGTGGATTATCATGGAGTATCTGGGCGGCGGGTCCTGTCTCGATCTGGTAGGCTGCTCATGACGTTTCCTCCCATCATGACCCCGTTGCTAACCAGCCTTGCCCCGTAGCTGAAACCGGGAACCTTTTCCGAGGCTCACATCGCCATCATCTGCCGTGAGCTCCTCTACGGGATCCAATATCTGCATAGCGAAGGCAAGATTCACCGCGATATCAAGGCGGCCAATGTTTTGCTGTCAGATGCTGGCAAGGTGAAGCTGGCCGACTTTGGTGTCGCCGCCCAGCTCACCAACATCAAGTCTCAGCGCAATACGTTCGTTGGCACTCCGTTCTGGATGGCTCCGGAAGTGATCCAGCAGGACGGGTACAGCTTCAAAGCAGACATCTGGTCCTTGGGCATTACCGCCATGGAGATGGCCAATGGAGAACCTCCTCTGTGCCACATACACCCCATGAAGGTGCTGTTCCAAATTCCCAAAAACCCACCACCAAGGCTGGCAGGTCACTTTAGCAAGGACTTTCGAGACTTTGTGGCTCAGTGCCTTACGAAAGAGTGCGCCCGTCGGCCCACTGCCAAGGAGCTGCTGCGACACAGGTTCATCCGTTCGGCGGGCAAAGTGGAGGCTCTCCAGGAGCTCATCATGCATAGGCAGATGTGGGATGCGAACCGGAATCGCCAAAAGCATGCCATGTACTACCAGGAAACGGTGCAGCCCATCTCAGCCAAGAACAACGACGTCGAGGCCTGGGTGTTTGACACTGTGAAGTCGGCTGCTCCGCCGAAGCGACCGACTGTCAGGCATCGCAAAACATCTTCAGTGCTGTCCACTGCAGAAGAGTCAATCCGCAAACTGGACATCAACGAGAGCTCTCTCAGTCCCTCGTCCCCTGCTACAAGCACTGTTCGCAAGGCGACGGTCCGGCGCAACCCTTCCATCATACAGGTTCCCTCGCCGTACGCTAATGGCTCACCTCGAGGCCCTAACGTTGCCCCGAAAAGACCCCTTCAGCCGGATACGTCGTTTGGCAATTCTTCTGGATCGACTATGCGTCTGTCCAGAGGAGCTCCGGCGAATAGCCCGTCTGGCCTGCGCGGGAGCAGAAGTGCAACTCCCGATGACGATGTCTTCGTCGACGAGAATGCAGCTAGGCTGTCGCCGGCCGTTACGCCATGCGAACCCCATAACAAGGAGGGTGTCTTGGGGCGAAGGCTCTGGTCCAAGGCATTGGAACCTACGCTTGCTAGCCTACACACGCAGACGTTTACGAAGCGAAAGCAAGAAGCGCTGGCCAAGGTGTCCGAAGCCTTTGCTGCCTTGGACGCAGTCGATCCCGAGGGAGCCTACTACTTGATGCACAACCTCGTCCTCGCCGTGAGCCAAGACGACAAGCTGGACGCGGCGTTACTGCGCCATCGGGATCAAAAGGTTCCAGATGATGGCACTCCTCAAGGGACGGTGCTTGTTAAGAATTCGACGCCGTCAGCGAGCCCTGTCAAGTTGGCGCCTGGTTCCGCAAACACTCGCTACAAGAGCCAACGCCGGCGCCAGCTTGAGTCGCCGCTGTCTAGGGAGTCGCTCCGAGGACAAGACAAGCCAGCCATTGAGGAGAAGTATCCTGGACGGGAAGCTCAGCCGGGCATGGAGCACTGCAAGCAACTGTCCGACGTGCTCTACAATCGGTGGGCGGATGGTCTGCGGATTCGGTGGCCGGCCATATAGTCTCACAAACCGAGACCACGCCCGCAGGGCTGCGTTCAACGAAGCGCCTACAAAGAGGATGCGATCTCAATCGACGTTGAGCAACTTGGGTTCTTTACGCGGAGTTGAGGCACCAACAATGTGCTTTTGCCATTCTGTTTCATGCGATATAATCACGGCTTTGCATATCGAGTCCAAGTTCGTAGGTGGAAAGCGACAATGGGGAGGAAACGAGGCGTTTAGGATCTGTGTCTACTTGGCCTGGATTTGGAGGCTGGCGAAGGAAATGGAGCACATATTTTCGTTGGAATGAGCCCCTTTCTGTCAACATTGGGTGCCTTTTGGGTTTGAGATTCTTGTTCTTTCTCTTCTTCATCTACTTCTCTTCTGCTTCTTCTTCCTCTTCTTCGGTTTTTCATCTCAGTTTTGTTTTCCATATTTCCTCTGTGTTTCTTTGTTGCCTCCAGGGTCTAGGGATAAGGGCGTTTCATAGGATGGTTCGATTTCTTTTGCTACCCGAGGTGTGGAATTATGTATGCAATCATGTAGACCAACATGAAACAAGAAGTGATAACTACATGACCAGTGTTCTATATTTCGGGTAAAGTGTTCTTCAATTCATTGGTCCAAGGTAGGTATTTCAAGACTCCTTTGTTTCGAGATCCAGCTTGATTCTCCAGTTCTTGAAGTCGTCTGTCAGGATATCGCCGTGTCCTGTCTCCTCGACTTTGTAGACTTCGATGACGGGTGAGTGAGCAGAACGCCGGGATATTCTCCAGACACCTTCGTCATTGATGGTTTGCGTGAGCCCTAGTCGAGGTTAGCACAAAAGTCGTAGACTACGGGCGGGTAAAAAAGCCATCGGGCTAAATATCATGGTCTTTGCTACACACAAAGTATTGTGACTTGTGTGTAGAAGGAGAGAGAGGAGGGGGGAAACAAAGGCAAAGACTGACACTCCAAGAACGCAGCCGCAAAGTTGACACAAATGTCGGCGTTCCAGGGGGCGTTCGGCCGCGCGTTGACCGTCTGGGGGATCTGCTGCGTCTCAATCTCCTTGATGTCGACGAGGACGCCGTCGCGAGTGCGGAAGCCGACGATGATTTTGGGCACGCCGAGGAGGAAGGACTGGATCCAGTACTTCATGAGCTTGCGGTGGAAGGCTTCCACGTCGCCGGCGTGGCGGATCTCAGAGCTCGTTTTGAGCTCGACCCAGTTGATGGGGGCGCCTTTTTCGTGGGGTTTGCTGTCCCAGACTGTGTTGTTTTTTTGGTTTGAATGTGAGGATCAACTCTGATGTGCTGCTTGAGGGTAATGGGCTTGGTACGTATATAAGATGGAGAAGATGAGACAACTTACTTGCATCGACTTCGCCTCCGAGGCAGAGGACCGTCTTGCCGATGCCTGTGCGTACGATGGAGCAGTATTGCTCCTTGTTGTTGACGACTTGGGTTTCTCTGCCCTCGATAAAGTCTCGCGAGGTCTCTGCCCATGGAGCGGGAAGCGTTGAGAGCGTCTCAAACTTGTAGCCTTGTATTGGTCAGCGGTGGAAAAGGCACCGAGTATCAAAAGGAGTTGGAATTGACCCCAAAATTGCATGACCTCGGGAGGCGGTCCCCTCCCGGGATTGCCGCGAGGCTCCTTTTGCCTCGAGAGCATCTTGTGTGCGTGGTTCTCTTCGATGAAGCTGTTGTTGATGGCATAAGGAGCTGCTCGGCTGGGTTGTATAATGGCTTGTATGGCTTACATGGTGCCCTGTTGAAGTTTGATTGTATCAGAGATGTGAATAAGGTATAAGTATCTAGTAGGTAGAGAGTGAAGAAGATACCTGGTATAATGTGGCATCCATTTCAAAGCTGCGACTTGTGTCAGATCGGTTGACAGCGGGAAGAGAGAAAGTGAGCTTCTACCCGTCATATTTCTCAAACGGCGCAGCCAATATCTATGCGGACTCTGTATCAACTACTACTGCTGCCTCGTGTGTCTGCATATCAGGGGCCGTACCTTGGTCATCATGCCTCTCCAGGTGACGATCTTTGCATCTATCCTCGTGCCTGTCTCCTGTTCGTGCAACATGATGGCCTTTAACAAGCTGTCGAGATGCTCATCTTGTGAATCATCATGCTTGATAAAGGTGTTGAACCCCCGAGACAGATCGGCCCCAAGCTGTGGAGGGTAATAGTATTTCAGGGATGAATCGTCAGGGCGATACTCATGGTTCTCGTCATAAGAGAAGCAGGCTATTTCCTGTTCAATATGGGACGTTAACGCTGTTGATCGAGTACTTGCGAGACAATTACACTAAGTATATGTAGATCTCCGGCAGGTTGTATTTTGCTTCGCCCTACCTTGGGTCTCTTGACGGGTTGGCTGGCGCCTACGAAGCGCATCACCGGCTGTACGGGGAAGCTCGGGGGCATCTTGGTGAGTATTCGCGACACGTGTGACCGCGTCGTCATGTGCTGGATTCTACTTCATTCGGCGGGTATGGACAGCTAAAGAGTGTGAGTGGCAGATGAAGAAGTATACAGAAAGCTACCTATCAGAAAGGCGGCTCAACTGCACGTGGAGATGAAATTGGATGTGAGATGTGAGGATAGGTAGAGTAAGGTATTACATGTAGTGAGTTGGAATGGGGTGAGGTTTGAGGCTCTTGGGGAGGGTCCACATAGGCCTTCCAGGTCTCTAGCGCGTTTGCTTAGAGGGCTGCCCGCTGAATTCCAGAAGCTTGGGGGGTCCTGTATAGAGCCACGGGTACCTAATACTTCTATGCAATAGGGGGCGCAGTATGAGTGTCCATGTAGCGCTACAAGACATGCGGCATGACGACCTCAGCACAGGTCAAACCAGCCGGCAGAATGGCGGTTGGACGGCAATTGAAGGCGTGCAGCTTCCAGGTTCTCATGCAGCCAAGCTGGGGATCGGATCGGATACGGTTATGCATCCAAGGACGCCACTGCAGTTCCGCAGCCGGGGCTAAAGAAACGTTTACTATAATTGATTAACAGCCCGCGTTTGGTTGCATTTCCTGGCCGGCAACTGGCAAGGGGAGGGAGATTCTGATAGGTCTGCATCTGGACGGCGAGGCTCGGAGAATTTTCTCGTTTGTTGCAGAGTTGCTGCACTGCAAGCCGTCGAGCCACTGAGAGGCATACAAGTGGTGATGCGCCTCCGTCTCTTGTTGAACAATCTGACTGTAAGGTATGTATCACCAGGGGACACATTTTTAGAAGCATGAGCAGGTGCAGGCAACCACGAATGATATTCTTGGTATTAACAAGAATAGCATTTTGAGTAGCACTTGTCATCTGCAGCCGTGATAGGTAGAGCGGGCTCTCTTTTACCTGAGGGCCTCGTGGACGAGTTGCTTGTCTCTTTTGCTTGTCAACCTCCTCTCCCTCGTCTTTTGTCCCCATTGTCGCTCGCTCTGCAGCCCATTGATGCCACTCATCTAGTATTATCAGCTGAGCGCAAGGTGAGCTCAAGTCCTTTGTCGTCTGCTCTCCAGCACTGCCAGCCAGTGACGAGCCCACGGCCGGCCAATTCCAGCTACCGGGCAATAATAGCAGAAAGTAGCACCAACAGGCCTCGCAGGTGAATCCGCGGCGACCCGGGCAAAGGTGAGCAGGGAATGACTGGTTTCGCATGTTTGTTTGGCCCAACAGTGCACCCAACAATAGCATCGCGCGCAAGCCCGTCAATGGGCAACGCAAGTGTTTGTGCCGGAACCACGAGGTCAAGCAAAAAGTCAGGCCAAGGTCAGGTCAAAGGTACGAAGTACGTCAAAGGGAGCGGAGGGGCCAGCAGAGGAGATTAAGTCGGGCGTTGAGGCCAAGCGAGATTCTTTCCTCTTGCAACTCTTCAACCGCAAATTGTTCTGTTCGCCCTCCAGCTTGTTACTTGTGCAGCGCCTCTACAGTCTCCTGGGAATCCGTTCAAACGGCCATTGTCTTCTCTTTCTCTTTCTCTTTCTCTTTCACTGTTTCTTCCTCTTCCTCTCTTCCATCTACCAATACAAATCTGCAACATCCGTACCAAATATTCTCTTTCACCTCAATACCAAAGGTACATACATACCTTACATCAGCACCGATACGATACCTACGATACCTTACGAGAAGGTACGACACGCTCGCGCTCGAAGAAACCCGCCAGCCTCGCAAATCCCATCACCAACAGCCCGCACAGTCTCGTGTGTCCTTGTCTGACACCACCAGCTCTCCCTCCCCTGTCAAAGCGGTCGGAGCTTCGCCTTGCAACTCGCCCCGCCAGCCAACCAGCGCATTTCGCCTCGCTGGAATCCAGAGGTTGGCGCCTCCACGTGATTACCCGGCCGGCAGCTCCCCAGCCAAAAGAACTCGCCCTTCTGTCGCATCGCCCTTGTCCGACCTTCTGAAATCGTCGCTGGTGGGCCGCTGGCGCATCTCAGCCTCGCCTCTCCAGTCACTCGACTTACATCTAGTCGTGCGCAGCGTCCAGCGCAGAGTCCGCCAGACGCTTTTGGCCCGGGGCCGCCTGGCTTACAGCAACAGCTTCCAGTGCCGCGGAGCTGTTCCGGTCTCTCCAGCTTATTCGCAGGGCAGAACCAACTCTCCCCGGATATCCGCTGATTCGTCTCATTCAGGCCAATGCCGTCAAAGCCACGCAAGGCCACTTCAAAGAAGTCCAAGCCCCCCGAGGCGGAAGCTGAATTCTGGGAGATTACGGGTATTCTTGCCGAGAAGACCGTCAAGAAATCCGTCAAATACCTTGTCCAGTGGCAGGACGATCCCGTCACCGGAAAGAAGTTCCCTCCTGAGTGGGTGAGTATGGCGTGATGCACGCCACTTACATGCTTCAATGCGCGTGGTTGAACGTTTGACTAACCTTGATCCCAGGTTTCTGAGGTAACACCTGCGGCCAAAAAGGAATGGGAGAGCATAAAGGCTGAGAGGCGTCTCCAAGAAGACCAGCAGCAGGCGCAGCAGCAGCAGCAGCAGCAGCAGCAGCAGCTTGAGCGACAGGCTGAAGACCAAGCTGAACCGGGACCAGCGCCGGACCCGGAGATAGGCCCCAAGAAGCAGCAGCATCATCGTCATCAGCAGCAGCAACAGCAGCAACAGAAACAGCATCAGCAACAGCAACAGGAGCAACAAGGACAGCCAGAAGACCAGAAGGCGTCCTCATCAGATTCAGACAGTGACGATAGCCAGCCGCCGCGTCCTGCTCAACGACGGCGTATCGACCAAGGTCAGAAGAAGCGTCCCCGTTCAGCCTCATTGTGTTCGGCATCTTCACTTGGCTCTCGTGCTCCGCCGCGTAAGGTACTCAGAAGCGACACTGGCGGGTCTCTTGAGCCTCCCGTGTCCCTTGTGTCTTCACCCTCGATCCCTTCGCCATCTGAAGTCTCGGAGCTACCTGAAGCAGTCGTCGCAGACCTTCCCGAAGTTGTCGTCTCGGATCTGCATGACGGAGTCGCATCTGACCTGTCTGACGAAGTCCTCTCGAAACATAATTCGCCAGATAGGTCTCGGTCTATGGTGGTGGCGATCCCCGAGCCTTCGAACCTCGATCCAGCTGATTATCTGAGCATCTTTGGTTCGCAATCGCAATCGAGCGGCAATTCTACGCAGCAGGTAGCCGAACGCGAAACTCAGGGCAGCCTGCTCTCCATCACACAGAGCAGCCAAGCCCCAGCGATCCAAGGGATTGAGAGTCAAGAAACTGTGGGTCAAGCGACTGTGCCCGACTCCCAGGAGACATCGGATCAATCTTGGACCCAAGCTCAGGTTGACTTGTTGCCTCCATCTCGCACGTTGACTGATCCCCAGCCTCAAGGCAGCTTACCAGACTCCAGCTCGCGCGTCATCCCAGATTCTCTCGAGGATCCCTCCACAACGGCGACACATCAGTCCAAGGCAACTCAAGACCGACAGGCATCTTCACCGTCAAAGTCTCGCAACGCATCCGAGGCCCCCCTTCAGGAGTCTCATGAAACTGGCAGTTCTGACATTCCTTCACACCAGCCCGAGCAGCTGAGAGAGGCCACAGACATCCACAGCCCTTCTTTGTCCGAATCTGTGTCACACAGCACGCCAGCCCCCCGTGCGACACAGCTTCCGGGTTCGTCAAGCTCGGCAGAGGCTATACCCACGCAATCAGACGCAAGCCCAAGGTTTCTTACTCAGCCACCCTTTTCGCTCGTCCTGGAGCCTCCGCAGAGTTCTGTGCCCAGTCGAATCCTTGAATCGCCTGCCCATCCAGTTGCGGAGGTTGTTTCCACCACTACCTTCGGGACTTCCTCTGCGTCAGATCCAGGAGCTTCTCAGGCCGCTCAAATCGTCGCCCGCGTTTGGGACCCACCAACTCAACATCTTGGGGACAGCCCGTCCCCGTCCGAGTCCGAACAGATCCGCCATCAACTGGAGGCCGTTGCTGTTCCATCACAGCCAGTAGCGCCGGCAGGTCTCACGAGGCATCCAAGAGCAACTGCAACACCGCCGACAAAGCATTCGACCCCGCTCAGCCTTTACAAGCGTCGAAGGATGGAGAACGAGACTCCGGAGCAAGCTGCCGAGAGGCGGCGATCGACGTTGGACGCAGAGCTCTCACAGATATTCCGCTTTGACGATGATGACGACGATAAAGCTCCTTCTGCACATGCTACCAGTCAGCCAACGGCCCAGCAGGTGCAGCACGACCAGGTCTTGGCTAACGAAAACGTCGAGCACGTTGCGCCAGCAGATGAGAGAAGCGCGCCTCATGCCCACACTGAGTTGCCCATGCATTCGACCGATATGCACCATGCCGTCGAGTTGCCCAGCAGCCAAGGCCATGATCAGCACGAGAGCATGGGTCCAGTAACAGCTAATGCGGCTGTTGTGGTACCTGAAATCCAGGGGGTCGCCGCTTTAGATACAGCAGCGGAATCACAAACCCCAACTCCACACCAACCGGTTGCCGCTGAGTTGGCCGATATTTTCGGCTCAGCTTTCGTCGGAGCGGACCTGGAGCCACCCCCTACGACTGCCCCTGATTATATACACGCAGAGCCATCTACAGTCTCCCTTGCCGACATTAGTCGCCAACCAGAACCAGCATACAGAGATGTGCCTCTTATGTCTTTTATAAACCCGGAAGAAACCCTGATGCACGAGTCGTTCACGGACACTGCTCCCTCAGAGCAGGTTCAAGCCGAACATAGCCCCAGCGAATCATCGGCGTCTTTCACAGAACAGCCGTCAGCGGTTAAGGAGCATGTTGTTACTCTCCCTTATCAAGCGAGCTTGCGCGAGAAGTATGACACCATCATTGTCGCATACAAGAACTCAATCAAGGAGTTCAACAGGTCATTCAGCGACGAGGACTACTCAGAGCCAGATCAGTCCCTAGTCGCGCGCATTGACGAGCTGTTCAACAGCCTCTTGAACCTATGTGATTATCCGGGGGATGCGGTGGGCAGCGACCTGGAAAAGCTGTCTCCTGAGGATCAGGCCAGGTATTGCTGCGACGCGAACCCGAAATTCAACTTTTTACGTGAGCTGTTGAGAGGCGTTGAGAATCATCTCAACATCTTGATCGTCGCTCGCTCACCAGATCTCCTCCGTCTCCTTGGCCATTTAGCATGGGCTGTCAAGATGCCGTTTACTTGCAAGGCTACTGGCCACGTCGATCCAGGCGATTCAGGCTTCAGGATGGTCCTCGCACTGCCGACGGAGTTTGTTGACGCCCGGAAATTCGATGTCGTGATCGGATACGACCATTCGTTCAGACACTCTGCCGTCGCACAAGGATTATCAACCCACTCCAGTAGCGGCAGGCATCCACTGGTTTTGCAGCTCGTCACGACCCATTCCATCGAACATATTGATCTTCATATACCGGACGATCTGACTCTGCTGGAGCGCAAGAGCGTTCTGGTCTCCGCGATTGTGCGCGCTCGACAACTCGTGGAAAGGCCAGATCCCAACCAACCTGAGCCGCATGAAATTGCCGCCCAAATCATCGAGTACCTCTCGAGCGATGAAGAGCCTTTTTTGTGGGAACCGACTCCCGTCCCAGAGAACATACTTGATGTCTACGTCCACTCTCAATCGCGGTCGCAATTGCCGACCACCGCCCAACGCGACCTGGAAATTGGTCGCAAGCGCAAACATGTAGGTGTCCTCCAAGAAGCTGTGCCAACGGCATTACGTGTTGAGCTGCTAACAGTATGGTAAATGCAGAACGAATCGGATGACTCTGAGAACAAGCGAGCACGAGTGCTTTCTGCAAACGAGGTAGTGTCAGCGATTGGAACAGGTTTGCCTCCAGTTTCCGACGAAGTCAAGGCGCTGTTGAAGTATGCCACACCGAGGGCAGACACCTCTCGGCCACAAGTATTGATCAACGTACCGCATACTGCGTTGCAAGTATTGGCTGAAAAGGTATGTTCTTACAAAGTGACTATGCTCTTGCGTGTAGATATCTGGCTAACTTTGCCAAAGTTCTCGGATTACGAGCACCGCCTCGAAGCTTCCAATCGTGATGCAGAATACAGAGCTGTCATCACAAGCCTGGAGAAGCGGGTCAAGGAGTACGAAAGATCAACGCACATAATCTATGAGACCGAGCGTGTGGCGCTTCAAGACCGCTCTCGGTTCGAAGGCGAGAAGCGTAAGATCGAGGCTGCCATGCAATCTGCTGCGGCTCAGGCAGAGAGGGAAGCCGAGAAAGCGAGGAGGAAGATCTCGGAGCTGGAAACCACTGTGGCGCGGCTGACGCAAGACCCCAATGCCTCCGATCCGCAGGATACGCCTCTGGCAAGATCCGAGAAGCTCTTGCAGGAGGCGCAGGCTAAGATTGCTATGCTCGAGAAGCGGCTGGAGAATGCCCACAAAGAGGCAGACTATATTCGGTCGACATACCAGGACGCTGCCTCTAGGGCGTCTGAATTGCAGGCAGAAAATAACCAACTCAGGAAACAAAACGAGGATCTCAGCGAGAAAGCTGCTGAGAATTCAGTCCGGATTCATGAGATCCAGGAGCGCAACACTGCGCATATCTATCTCCAGCAGATTGCAGAGCTCAAGGCTCAGATCCAGAGCAGAGATATGGAGCTCGAGCGTGCTCGTGAAGAGCTTCGTCAGCTTAAGAACGGACGGCGAGAGACCCGGCAGTCTAGCGTACCGCGGAGTCCACGCATGGGCATGATGAGCCCGCGAACGATTGCCCGAGGGTACGGAGGCCCGTCTAGCAGGGGGGCCAGTCCTGCTGCGAGCGGCGACGGGATGCAGTTCTATGGTCAGCAGTCTGGAAATGGCCGATGGGATCATCTGAGGGGATGATGCGAGTGTCAGGCATGATATCCCTCGATTAACGCCATCTCCAGTCACTTGGGGGAGAGGAACTGGATGGGGAATATAGAGAGTTTGGACGAGGCTGTGTGATTCATGAGTTGATTTTCGTTGATACTTGGTATAGGTTTCGGGGGGGATGCCGTGCTCTTTCCCGTTTTCATTCCTTCGTCTTGTGTTACCTCCTTTTACTTCATTTCCTAGATTTTCTATTCGCGATGGTTTTTCTTTCTTTCCTACCTATTGTTGCAAAGGGTATTGGCACGAGGCAATTCGCCTCCAGGCGGGAATCAAGATGGATACGTGCTTAGGTATTTACATGGCATAAAGGAGGGTAGCTCAGGGCATTTCACATAAGAGGTACACCACACGGAATTGAATCGCATGCGCTATTGACAGCTCTGGGTCGTTGCCGGGGTTTCAACCGTGACTGCATATGGCCTTACTAGTAGCAGGTGCCCCAGTCCATATGGCAACGAGACGATGCAGCCGAGAGAGATAGAAAGTGTCATCTTTTTGTTTTCTTTTCATAGAGGTTGTTTGTTGAGTCAAGCTTTGTAGCTTTGCAACAACAGCAACCACAACAACAGTAGGGAGCAGTATACACTATATGCTTTCAATCACACTTATCAGACATTGGGTTTTGTAGGAAACTATACCTCCCGCTCTCCTTCTTGTTCTTCTTTTTTTCCCATTAAGAAAACCCGCCTTCACTTCTCTCGTCCTCCGCTTTCTTTTACCTTTCCAGCACTGAAACACCATACATCAACATTGTACAAGTCTTTCCTTTTTCTGCTCTGATTAACCCTCTCTCTCCCTGGTTTATAGGGGGGGTGGAGGGAAACATGGAAAAGGATAAGCGGGTTTATTTCTCCTCGGGGTAGAGGTCCTCCTTCAAGGGGACGCCGAGCTCTTCTCGCAGGGGCTTCAGCTCGTCGAGGTACTGCTGGTACTGGTTCTTGTTCTCGACCTTGGCCTTGATGCCTGTGTTGTAGTAGATGGAGCCCGTCAGTATGATTGCGCTTTCGACAGTATTGAGTTGTGATGTAATGCAAAGCGACGTGAGAGTGCTGCATGACGCAGAGACCATGATACCACAGTTCAAGCCTGCACCATTGTATCACGGCTCACACTCTGCGTCATGATATAGCACAGCTCAGAGGTGTCTTGACATGGCATGGCGCATCATCACCCCCCCAAAGGGTGGAGACGAGCTAGTGACTCAATTTCAAGGCGTACCTTCGAAAATGCGGACAGCAGTAGCAAAGTCGTTGACTCTCCGGGCGGCCTTGAGGGCAGCGGCGACGACGGAGGGCGAGGGGACGAGATCGTAGGCGAAGGCGTTGTTGAGGTTGCGCTAGAAAAATGTGAGCTTACGAGATAGGCAGTTTGGAGATCATACGATTGGGGGGTGTGTGTGTGTGGACGTACCTGGAGCTCGAAAACGTCCTGGACAGCGTCAAACTCCTTCTCGAATCTGCTCCGGGTGTCAGTCCCGCCCAATGGATGCGTAAAACCCAGCGATAGCAATGCACGGAGGCCGAGGTTCGTCTTTCTGGTTGTTTCCCTGGTTTCCGCCCACTCAAATGCTTTTTAATTTTCTCCTCCATCTCTCCGTCTCTTGTCCGTTGAAATTCCCTCCACGGCAGCGCATTTCCTCTCGATTTCCCCCCTCTCTCGTCGTGCATTGCGTATTGAAAGAAAGCGGTCGAGCCCTCACCTGGCAGTGAACTCCTCAAAGGTCTCCTCAGCATGCTCAGCCCGTCGGGAAGCAGAGACGCTGAAGGGGCGAGCGGCAGCAACGGCCGAGCGGGCAGCCAAGGGCGCGGGTCGGACGGCGGAGGCGCGGAGCATGGAGGAGCCGCGGGCGGCGGCGCGGAGCAGAGCGGCGGACTGCATTGTGTCGAAGGGAAAGCTGGCGAGAGAAGAAAAAGCGAGAGCCTTTTTGGAAGAGGAGAGGGAGGGGAGGAGAAACGGTTTCGTGGTGTGTCCTTTGGTGTTGAGGAAGCTTTCGGGACCCGAATGGCTGCAAAAGAGGTGATTTTGGCAGAGCATAATGGAGAAATCGTCTGAGGGCGGCATGATGACTAAGCGTGCGGCATTGCCTGATTTACCCGGCCAAAGCGGGACAACACGGTGCGAATTGGGAATCTGGCGGGGCTGCTTCTGGGCGTGGTTGAGCGGGGAAATATACAGTGCGCAGCGATTGCACGTACGGAGTCAAGGTTCTGATGGAATGGCTCAGCTTTTTCAATTACGCCAGTTTCTATTTGTCGAATCGAGCTGCTGATACCGAACCTCCGCTGCAGCTGAGCGGCGGTCGGTTTGCCGGGTTGCCATTGATTTGATAAGCCGGTATGCATGCACTTGAGATGCCGTGATATAAATCTACCTACAGTGTATGGTATCGCCTCAGCATGCTACTGATAGATTGTTTCTGTAAAAGGTCGTAGCAGCTGCTTGCCTTGATCAATAAGTGACGCGATCGGAAGGGATTGAGCGATCATACATAAGGTACTAATACAATCCTCGGTTCCGGGTGTCGGGGATCCTGGCCGCGGCAGCAAGCGGCGTCCAATTCCATCGGGATCCCGTTGATGTGCCTCGAGGCTGATGGGCTCTGCATTTCCTGCTACAGAATAGCAATTGGTGAAAGAGATTGTAATAGAGCCTCCATCGTGGTGTCGGTGGCGTGAACCGGACATTCCATGCCATACTCCAGGATCTTGCAGAGATAATGTAATCCAAGACAATGGATTGTTGAATCCCCAGCCAGCGAGCACAGGTCCAACAAGGCTCCAATGCTGGCCCTGTTTTCAGCTGCCGCCCTGTCCCGTGTCTCAGATGCACATATCCTAATAAAGTGACGGCATGTTCAAATTGCTTGCTACTACTACCTACTAGTACCCAGACTCACTACTACTAATAAGGCACTCTCCCTCATCAAATGCGTCGTCCAAGCACGGCGTCCGCGCGGCCCCGAAATTGCGGTTGGGTCGCATCAGCTCCAGATCTGTGGCCCATCAGATGCTCGCCGGGGCCGAGTCACGTGCCGTCGCTACTTACTGCTACTAGGTAGTACTAGCATCTCCGAACAGAATCTGAACTTTGGCAGACCTCGGATTGGCCGCCTGTCGAGCCAAGTCAAGCAGCACAAAGGCCCAATCACATGCGCCATTCGACAACTTGGCGTCACCGCCTGCAGACGCCAAATTTCCACTCTGGAAAAAGGGGACGAGCCGCTTTTGCACTTGGCCGGCGTTACTTCGCAGCCCAAGTAGCGGTACCTTGGCGCAAGCCGTCGAGGCCACCTGTTTGACCCGTCCAGGCGGTCGCGGATTTCTGCCGCGTCAAGTACTTGTACACGTATGCCCGTAATACCGCCTCAAATCCAACGCCGCGGCCTCGCCTGTGCTAAAAGTATTTCTTCCGCCCTCCTCCTACCACTTCGTCCTCTTTTCTCCTCCTCCATTTTCCTTTCCCCCCCCCTCCGTTGTGCGCGAGTCTGCCATTGTTTCTTCTTCCCGGCGTTGAGGTCGAAGCTCTACCCCTCTTTTTCTCGTCGCTCCTTCGCTGTGCAATCGATATTCCTTGCCTCGATTGGTCTGGCAATTGCAATTGAGTCTGGCCTCAAAAGTCGTTCCGCTTGATCGCGTCGCGTGTCCACTCGAGAGAGGCGGTCTTTTCAGTTTTCTTCCCCCTTCCCGCTTCTTCTGCTCTGTTCCCAGGCTCGCCAGCCGCTTAATTGCTTCATCTGAGACCTGTTCCGGAGTTTGCCTGTGCAACCTGCCCGCCATGGCCTCGGCTCCCGCCACGTTCTACGAGCAGTTGCCGCTCCCGACGCTCGATCGCCCCTTTGGCATCCATCTATGGCCCATCTTTGACAAGCTGTGGACGGCCGTCGTTGGCTACTCGGCCAATGACTTCAAGTTCGTGCCCTTCGAGACGCCCATGTCCACGCTCAAGTCGACGTCCATCTTCATCGTCGTCTACTACATCATCATCTTTGGCGGTCGAGAGTTGATGCGCAACCGCGAGCCCTTCAAGCTCAAGTCTCTCTTCCTCATCCACAACCTGTACTTGACCGCCATCAGCGCCTTTCTGCTGGCTCTCTTCATTGAGCAGCTGCTCCCTACCGTTGTCCGCAAGGGCATCTTCTTCGCCATCTGCAACCACGATGGTGGCTGGACTCAGCCCCTGGTCGTTCTCTACTATGTGAGTAAACAGTCTCGCGCGACAATTGATACGTGGCGGTATGGCCAGGATCAGAAAGCTAACGACGCGTGATATTCATTAGCTCAACTACCTCACCAAGTACCTTGAGCTGCTCGACACCGTCTTCCTGTTCCTCAAGAAGAAGCCGTTGACCTTCCTCCACTGCTACCACCACGGTGCTACCGCTCTTCTCTGCTACACCCAGTTGATTGGCCTGACCTCCGTCTCCTGGGTCCCCATTGTCCTCAACCTGACGGTCCACGTTGTCATGTACTGGTACTACTTCCAGAGCGCTCGTGGCGTCCGAATCTGGTGGAAGGAGTGGGTTACTCGTCTCCAGATCATCCAGTTCATCATTGACCTCGGTGAGTACCCTGCTACAATTTCCATCCATTCGGTGGGCATTGACTGACTCCCTTGGCAACACAGGCTTCGTCTACTTCGCCTCGTACACCTACTTCACCTCGACCTACTTCCCCTACATGCCCAATGCCGGCAAGTGCGCTGGTGAGGAGTTTGCTGCCTTTGCTGGCATTGGCATCCTCAGCTCATACCTGGTCCTCTTCATTTCCTTCTACTTCGCGACCTACAAGAAGGACGGCAAGGCTACTACTCGCAAGTCCCTGCGCCGCATGAGCCAGGCTCCTCTGCCTGACCCCGTCCACATGGCTTCCCACGTCGGCAAGTCCAGTGCCAGCACCACTGGGGCCAAGACCAACGGTGCCACTACCCGATCTCGCAAGGCTTAAGCTCACGCTTGGCGCCATCGAGAGCTCTGATCGACATTCTTTCCCAAGAAGGTCGATATGACTCAAAAGCTCTGACGTCCGATGACGACGAGCATCCTTCTTTTGACCTATATACTACGGACTTGAAGCACTTGCAGTTGCAAGGGCGATTACAAATTTTTAATCTCAGGTTGGACATGAGAACATTTGTTCTGGCAATGGAACCACTTAGATTCGCCCGACAGGCGATGATGGCATGTCTAATCCTATCATGACGACAAAGGAGAGGTGACGATGTTCTATATGGGCTAATACGGGGAACGGAGGGAAATGATATGGGAGGCGCAAGGTAGAGACGGCAGTCATTGTTACGAGAAAACGCCCGATACGCGGAGCTGCAATCGTACACTCGTACGGCAGCGTCACGGGCCAGGAAAGTCATGCCAACCTGGTCTTGGTTTTTCTTCCTCTTTTTTAATCATATTCTGCCTTTTGCTGTACTATACTTTATTTGTATGTATTCTCGATTCGCCTGGCATGCTCCTGGCCCAGGAGACGAGTTTCGATAGATGGGCTACGTGGCGGAGCGTACGGAGATTTGATTAGAGAGTCGGCGTACGAGATGAAAATGAGTCGTAATACTAGTGTTGGATCTCTTCACTGTCAAGGCACGTGTCAAAAGGTGGTATGTGATGGCCGTGATGTCGTTTGGGCACATGTCTGTGCCGTGAATATGCATGTGAAAAAGTAGGACAAGGCTGACCTTGGTCATTCACGTTTTCTGAGTGGGCAGCTGAAAGGAATAAACGCCGCTTAGTACAAATAAGCATATCTAAGCATAAGATGGTGCTGGGAGAATCCTGAGTAGACATGGAACGTAAGCTACCTTATTGTTGACATGCCAAGGGGGGAAGAAGAAGCCTCATGCAATCGTCCAATACGAGGCAGCGGAAAGGCAAAGCAGGAACAAATCGATTGGCGCCCGAGCGCGTGCCAGAAGAGAGCGAGCCCTGTGGAAGAGGGAAGAGGCTAAAAAAAAAAAAAAAAAAATTGCAGGCCTCGCTCATCACTGCCCATCAAATCAAAAACCAGTGGAGGTTTGCTTGCTGCGTCAGAAGGGGCGAAATTAGCAAGGAGCGAGAAGGCCGCAAATCATGACGAGACCCTGAGAGCCAATTGATATTCCAATACTACCAATGTCTCTTCCCCCGCATGAAATATGCGTGAGTGGCCCTCCATGCTGGAATTTTTGGCTGGGCGGGACAAAAGACCACCTAACGCACCCGACAGCAAACGTGTTGAATGCCAGCCATCGAAGGAGCGCCAATAGGTACCTAGTAATACCTAGGTAGGTAGGTAGGTCAGGCATGTAGGTACTTGTCCTCGACCGGGTTTGCGTGTTCATGTTCCCCCCCTCCTTGGCGATCCATTTCTAGCCACCAGAAAGAAGCTTGACAAGATATCGTGAATGGATTGGGACCGGGCTGTTGCCAGCTCGGGCAATAGGGAAAAAAGAAAAGCACTGGCCTTGGGCGCCACGCCTTCAAAACAGCACCCCCCCAAATGCGTGGAACTCTTCAGGTTCCCCCCCTTCACAGCCCCCGCCGCTAGGTTGTCAGTTGCTCGGCAGGTGCCTGAAGCTCCCTCTCATTAGCCGCTACAGGGAGCGCAAGGGCCGCTGGCTGGGGACCTGGCGGGTGGCTTCCCAGCGGAGGCTTCAGGCTCTCAGGTACCAGAACCAGCCTGGAGACGTGGACGGGCTTTTTTGGCACCACAAAGGAGCCGCTGTGGCGTGCAGAGCAGCTGCAGCAACGCCAATCGCCATCTGCCGTAGAATCCTCCACCAAGGGTCCTCCCATCATCTCCTTCTCTCTCTCTCTCTCTCTCTCTCTCTCCCTCCCTCCTCTCACTTCTCACCTTTTTACCCTTTCTTCCTCCAACCTTGGACTCTTCTGCTCGTGTCCAGTCCCAAACCGTCAATTTTCTTTCTTCAATCACTGGGAGCAGGCAGAAACAACAAAACACGAATTAATACCCTCTGTCTCCTTTTTTTTGACATATCAGATTCTCGGTTTTTGCAACTTGTCTCGCCCACCCTCAAGCAGAAACATCGCAATCCTCTCTCGCTCTCGTCGGTTCCCGCTTCTGCACCGCCGCAGCCACTCGACTCTCTCTTCTCTCGTTGGGCTGTGGAGGGGACCCCCAATTTCAGCCTCGCCGATAGTTTCGCGGGGCACCAGCGAGCTTGCAAGGGATGCGCGAAACAAGCTTGAACCAAGCAGCTGCAGCTTTGGTCTAGAGCATCGATCGCTTCTCGTCACGCCGTCCTGAGCATTTCTCGGCAACAGCCGCATCTGTTATTGCTCTTAATACTATTCCTCTGTTCTTCTCTTTTTCGTCTTCTCTCTTCTGAATTTTCCTTTTTCATCATTTCCGTCTCTGGTTGTAATATCTGGTCTCTGCTTTTTCTGGACGCATTTCGCTCCTTTTTTTGTTTTCTCCTTTGCCTCCTTTCCATCCATCGCCAGGTACGCGTTATTACAGCCGAATCCTTCTTCAGCATCACCGCAAGTTTTCTGTCCATTGCCCGCTTTGGGCTGATCTGGCATTGTTCGATCTAGTTCAGCTTGGGTTTTTTGCAAGCACCCAAACTCAGCATCACCGCCACAATGAGATTCCCCTTCAGACGAAAGGACAAGAAGAAGTCGGAGGTCGCCAGCCCTCCAGAGGCATTGCGCCGCCCTGTTAGTATCAGCCGGCAGCCTTGGTTTCCCCCAAGCGTCAGGTCGAGCCAACTCGTCGCCGTTCTCCCAGCAAACGTTTTGCAGCGCATCTTCTTCTTCGTCTGCCCACATTCCCTGGATGAGACGTACGATGCGTGCGAGGCGAGCGGGAAAGGAGAGGGCTGCATGCTGTGTGACCTGCGCGACCTGGCCCACTGTTCGATGGTGAACCGGACCTGGCACGACAATGCCATCAAGCTATTGTGAGTTACCTGCCTGGAGCTGCTCCTTACCACGACCCCTTCATGCGCGTTTCCTAACTCGACTCTTTTTTCCCCCCCTTTTTCAGGTATCACAGCGTTCGGATCGACCAGGTCCACTACTGCAAGCTCGAGGCCTGGCTGGCCGAGAGGCGCAAGCAGACGAGATTTGACCGCAACGCCATTCCTGAGGACCCGGCGCAGGCAAGGCTCAGGCTCTTCCGCCGCACGGTTCGCGAGGACCCGACCCGCATCGGTAAGAGGGTCCAGTTCCTCAAGACGCCCTACCAGGTGCGCGAGTACTGCCAGGTGGAGTTGGCCCAGACCATTGCCGTGCTCCCCAGCCTCAAGTATGTTGATCTGCCAGAGGGCATGTTCTCAGACGAGTCGAGTAGTTCGACGCTCCGCTTTGAAGTCCAGGCCAGATGCCCCAATATCCGCAAGATGACGTACAACGCAGGCTCGGAGAAGAGCCTGGCGGCGCTGGCCACGGGTCAGGTGTGGCCTCAACTCGAGGTGATTGAGCTCAACGGCATCAATGTCGACACCATGACTATGAGAGCGGTGTTGAATTGTTTGTCAAACCTTCGGGCCCTCAAGATGACGGATACCGAGAGCATTTCCGACGAGGTGCTGGCGGCGGCATCGGGGCCTATCATGCCCTCGTTGGAGGAGTTCATACTGGAAGGGACTCCTCGAGTGACGGCCGCCGGCCTCATTGAGTATCTCGCTTGGCCCGAAACCCAGCGCCAGCTCAAGGTCCTCACGCTGACCAATACCGGCGTCCACCCGCAGAGGCTTTCAGAGGTCTTGACCATGGCGCCATATCTTAAGTCGCTTGGCATGAAGGCCAAGGTCATTGAAGGCTTTCCACAGCACGCGGGCATCCCACTGCTCGCATCCAACAATCTCGAGACGCTGCGCTGGGAGATTTCCACCGAATCGGACAAGGAGGTGTACGCAAGCATGAAGGCCAGCTGGTACACCTACCTCGCCTCATCCGTGCTCGCAGGGTCTATGCCTAGGCTGCGCAAGCTCTTCGTCCACGATGACACCTTTCCCGAGCAGCTTCAGGGGCTTCCTCCTCCCAACGCCGGCTTTGCAGGAGGGCACATGCGCAACACATCTCAGGCTTCCACCCGCAGCGCCCGCATGCCTATTCCAGGCAAACCGAGCACGCCCACATCCAGCACGTTTGGCAATCCGTTTGCTGCGCCGTATGGGACCTCGCCCGGCTCGCCCGGCTCGCCACAGTCTCAGGTTGTGTCCCCTCGACAGCTGGGCGTGCCTCGTGCGCCGGCCGCCCATCGCTTCAGCTCCAACAACCCTTTTGCGGCACAAATCAAGCCTCCTGCTCCCCTGCCGCTCACCACTCTCGAGATATACACCAAGACGGACGAGTACGGCAAATGGAACTTTAGCAAAGTCGACGCATTGACCACGGTAGGTCCGGCGCTGCGACGTCCCGTCAGCACCTACGGCCTGGCGGCCGACGTGGCCGGAGAGGGCTGGAACCGGGGCGAGGTTCGACGCAGCATCATGGTCGGAGACGGCACCGGACTCTTCTTGCCGCTGCCCCCACCCCCGGCCCAGGACGACTTTGGCCGCAGGGGATCTGGCGTGTCCGACAACTGGCGGCCCTCTAGCAGCGGCGGCGACTCTCTGCGCCCGCCGCCCCCTCTTTGGCCGTGATTTGATGCTCTGGTAACTTTTTTCTTCCATTTTCGGGTTTTCCCCCTTGTCTTTTCGGCCATTTGCCGTTTCGGTGTCAAGGAGCGAGGTCATGAGGCAAAATCAGAGACATGATGATTGATGATAGCACACTGCTCTTGTTCATTTCTGCTTCTTTTCTATCTCGATTTACTTCTAATCTTAGTAACCAGTGTAATATAGAGGGGGGGGGGGAATGGGGGAAAGTCTGGGATAGCATTCGGGGGATATTAATTGGTTCATAATTCCCGTCAATTCTTGACGATAGTTCTATACAGACCTCTATGACCTCTTTACCTACCTTTGCTTGTCCATCCATCTGCTTGCATGCCGATGGCATGGCGGGAGAGGCGTCATCCGGATCATTTATAGTGCTCAGTGTGCCTGCGCGGGCTCGTTAGCTTGATCAGATGATGCGGCTCTTATGGTTCCGCATTCGAGCCTCGGGACGGGAAGAAAGCTGACCTGCAGTCCATCTATCCTGCCATCGCGATGCCTTGAATAGTAAAAGCTTACGGCAGCGCCATGTGGCAATCGTTCGGGTCGACCAACCAGCCGGAACCAGGATGTCATATCTGGTCAAGCAAGCGACAAGTGGAGAGTCCAACAGTTCATACAGAGTACCTAACACTAGCGCAAACGCTCCCGACATGGCAACATGGTGAAGAGAAACATTTGGGATTTTTACTGGCAGTGAGGCTTTGAAGGTCTTTGAGGTATACTAGATCCACCATGGCGCGGCTTGGAGATGGTCTTTGCCTTGTGGCGTGTTTTATCTTTGGGTCTTTGGGTTTTTCGTCTGCAAGTCACTTTTTGGGTGGTTGGAGTGTGAATACTGTATGGACAATGGGGGGGAGGAGGGTTCAGGTGTTGGGTTGGGTTTGCGGAAGGGGGCATTGATGTTTTACTACTAGGTATGATGGCTTGAGTGGGGGAGGGTTTGAAGACTGGAAGTTGGATTGTTTGTTAGTGTCGGGAGGAGTGCTGTTGGTAGGGCTGTCTTGTGGCAGCTATGTATGTATGTATGATGCGCGGGGGGGATTTTGCTTATATGTGATGAGCATGTTGTTGAAAGTCAGGTGTATGAGATGTTTTGTTAGTTGTTACGCTTAAAGAAGACGTTTGTGTTGATTAGCAGTTCATTTTCATTGATTGCATCGCAGCGCGAGCATGGAGCGGAAACGAAATTATTTACAGCATGTGATTACCTCTTGATCTTTCTTCCTTACATCATCTCAACTCCTATCTTAAAAAAGGAAAGGGGAAAAAAAAAAAAGAGTCGCCCAAGTTTCATTGCCCCGGACGTGTATCAGGCCATGTTTCGCCCCTAGCAAAATCGACAATACCTCGAGAAACAATCGTCAAACGCATAGGGAAGAAAAGTAACGGTGTTTAGCGGGCACGAGGCAAGGGTGGAGGGGGGGGGGATGATGGTTTGAAACGCTCGTGGCAGTTGTTGAAACGGCCGGAGTTAAGCACAGGTGACTTGTCTCTTTTTTTTTTTTTTTTTTTTTTTATCTTCTCTTCTATTTTACCCTTAACTGCAGATTTTTCTTCCTTAACTTGCTTTATTCACATTTTAAAGAAGCTTGTCTGTTTGTGAAACTGATTGTGAATGCCGTCCCTGGAAGGGTAGGGGAGGTATGTATGTAGTATGTATTACCTACGCTTGTATGCTATAATACAGTGCTTTTGCGTCATGAGTGACATGTTTGAGGGAAGAAGCTTATGTGGATATTGAGTGGTAGCTGACAACACAGCCGGAATTCTGACGCCACGCGAAGGAGATCAAGAGCGGTTTGACAGTTCACATAAACTTTACTAAAGACGGACTTGGATGGCTTTCTATTTCTGGGAGTCGTCTAGAAGACAGGATTGGATGCTACTAGACCTGTTGTGGGATGGGAAACGTGGCTGGTGAGCCCTCGTGGCTGGCGTGGACATGGCTAGTAGTCGTGTGTGGCTTCAGTGTGGGAGCTGTCAAGAAGGAAGGAAGTGGTTGTCAGCGGGCGGGAGCCCATGACGCCATTTCTGGGGCTTTTATTAGTAGTGTTGCTGGACGTGTTCGACTTTAGTGAAGGCTAGAATCTAAGCATATGATGCTGCTATTTCAAGGGCATCATGATGGTCATCAACTGCACAACATCATCAGTACCACTATGTAATGCCATGCTCCATTCGACTCTAAACACTCCGATCGGAGTTCCAATTCAACAAGCAGTCACGCACGTGGCCACTCCCACCACAATCGGAACCGCCCAACAGCACAGCCAGTAAACATGGAGCTTCTAACAACACACTGGACACTTGCATAGGAGTTGATAACAGAGCACGCAGCGACATACAGTACAGCATCACTGTACAGGTACATTAATCACGAACGAAAAACGAAACGGTATTGAATTAGATATACTACCACTAGTAGATACTCCCGGAAGTCCAAACCCCTCCGGAGCCAGCCAACAAGGGGCGGGGGGGGAAAGGTCATTCAGATCCCTCAGATAGCCATGAGAGAAGAAAAGAGAAACGTGGCGAATGGGGAAGCGGCATTGAGCCGCGACTGATCTGAAGCTGAAGCGCTGGCGTGTCGCAGGGGGTTGTGGTGCAATGGAAGTCAGATGGTCGACTGTTTTTCTTTTCTTTTGGGCGGCAACCAGTACAAGACTTGAAGAATTACTAGTAAGTTTCCAGCCTTGTAGAATCTTGATCGTTTCGACAAGATGATTGGGGGAGAAAGTGAGGGCTGGGGGTTGCTGCGTCCAGGCTTAGGAGGCGTTTTGGTCGAGGACGTGCAGTGTGGCAGATGAGCAGATACGAGCGCAAAGAGGCCGAGGCTGGGAGGAGAGAGGGTATGTATGTATGTATCAGATCTATGGGTGGGAAGGCCTTGACTGAGGAGGACTTTTCGTTGTTTCGCTGCCCTCGATGCTACCCTGCTACACTCTCTCGGTATCAGGTGGGCAGAGAGATGTGATACTACCGACCTACCTATGTATGTACTATGTAAGGACACGCTGTAGGATCTGGTGCGACTCTGATGCTGTAAGTCAGGGGCTCGGCTGAAGCGATCTCGGTTCGTCCAAGCGGGAGGGAAACACTCCGTCATACAGTCACTTCCTAGGTTGTCAAAGCCTAAGGTACGGTACGGTACGTAGGTATCCTTTCCATGGCCAAGACAACCCAACGCCAGTAGGTATCTCGTGCTACTAGCACTCCCTCCAAAAAAGCGAACTTTTCGTGATGTATCACAAAAACAAGCTCCCAACTCACCAACAGCAAAGCCCTTCTTTACCCCTCTTCTATCTGCACTCAAAAGTCGGTCAGGCGCACGAGAAAGGGAGAAAGAAAAAAAAAAAAAAAAGGCAGAAAACAGAGAAAGACGGCAAAGTGATAAATAGGGAGGGTGCGAAAAGAAGAGTTAGTTGTCCTTCTCATGTGTGTACGTGTGCATCTGGCACCTCATGCAAGTACCTACTGTAGGTAGGAGGAGGGCCAGTTGCCCTGCGTCTCTTGTTTCGGGGCGGCGCCGTGATTTGCAGCTGGTTGGGCGGGACGATGCCTGTCGAGAGGAGAACCTAGGTTTGTGAGAAGTGGATGGTGTGCTGGCCTGGCGCTAATATACCGTCCATTGAGGCGAGGCTGGAGTCCATTACCCTGGAGTTGAGAGACGGAGAGGGGGGGTTTCGTGCATTGACTGGATGGCGATGAAGCACTTCAGCGGCTGTGGTTCCTACTAGGTGACTTACATAGTAGTAGGGAGATCATGGGGAACTGCTGCAGACGTGGTGTGAGTGAATTGTTGGCGTTTATTATCAGGCAATCTGCATGTAGGCAAGTCGTGTACACAAGCGGGCGAGGTTCTGGAACAAGCACGCTCTCGAGCCGGAACCTCTGATATCCCCTCATTGGCAGGTACTGCTTCGCATTGAACTACTAGTAGGTAGTAAATTCATATCTCATGTGGTTGGTAATTCCTGCATCATTTCGAGGAATATGTGACATCTCCGCACATCGTACGAGGCCATGAACAAAAAAAGAAAAGAGGTAAAAAGGGAAAAAAAAAAGGGAAAAAAAAACGGCCAACAAGATACGTCCCGAGAGCCTTGACCATGATGCATCAATGTCCCTTTGCCATGCAGCAGGTTTGCAGTCCGTGCAGCCTCTCGCAATCTTGTCTCGTGAGGGGGGGGGGGGGGCTGCAATTATTAAACATGGTTGGAACAAAAGGCGTGCCATGTTATCTTGCTCGTATAAACATGTGTGTGGCCCAACGCATTTCGTCAAACAGGAAAGATCATGATGATGGATGAGATAGATAGAGAGAGAGAGAGTGTGTGTGTGTGAGTGTATGTGTGTGTATGGGAGATAGAAGGAGAAGCAAGAAGAAGGGGCTTAAAGTCGGTGATTGGCCATGGCTCTCTCTGATGGTTGCAGTCGGGGGGTTGCCATCGAGATTGAAACCCGATGCCGCCGCGGCACTTCACTGGTTATCGCATGTTAACCTGAAATGAACAAAGCACGGAGAGAGACAATGTGCAATGAACGAACGAACGAACGGAGCAATTCTTTAGCAGCGATCGATCCCGATGTCTTTCTTGTCGTTGGGAAGGGCAAAATTCATTTAACCCAAGATTGTTCAGATGGGCTCCATTGTTGAGTGCTTATACCATGCAATAATCAAGCAAGCACGCACAGTCCCTGAGATTGCCGCAAACCCCATCTAATAAGAATTCAATTTCTCATTCGAGAAGCTGGGAAACCATCTGGGGGTCCAATGTGAAAGTCCAGTTAGTATTGCGCACACTGTCCTGCGGCATTGCAAAGAAGTAGAAATAGTGAAATGACGACCTACAGGGAGCAGCGAGGTCGGCGTGACAAAAGACGACGATCTGCCGGGATGTATGTAAAAGAATCTCCCCATGACGGGGTGCGCGATAATACCTTTGGCCCTCATTCAATCATCTTACTGTATGGAGGTAGATGATACAGTGTGTAGTATTGGCAGAGGAATAGAAACGAACATTCAATCGGAAACTGCAATAAAACAGCAGCAGCTTCTGTTCCTTGCTCCCATCTGTGATCGGTTTCCTTGTTTCTACACATGAACGGGCTGCGGCCACCCTTGTCGATGCCTGGTGCAGGTTGGTGTCGTGGCCCCTGGAATGGCCCTGAGGAGGAGGACAATGAGTTTTGAACCATGAATGGGCGTGAGGGGCCTGCTGTTGCTAGTGATTATGTACAGTATTGCTGCTAGTAGTTTTCAAGGCGTTGGGCACGGCAGATGGCGCTGGGCTTAATTCGACGGGCAAGGGAGAGGAGAGGAGAGGACGAGTGATTAGGGGATCAGCGAGGCTACGGGTCGCCGACTTGGGGGATCTGCGTGGTTCTGATTCAGTTGGCGTGACGCAACTGTCCAGGGCGTGAGGAACTCGTGATCCGAGTAATACTTGTAGTACGAGTATGCTTGTCTCTCACCCGTTGATGAACGCTGGTGGACTGCTGGGCTGCTTGCACGCGTGTTGATTATACTATGCTTGATGTGCCATGTGGCAGTTCATTCATCGTCGACAGTCGGGTATAAGGTAGGTAAGGTACGTAGGCGTGATCATGACCGTGCTGGGTCCGAGGTCTGACAAGGTGCCATTGGATTCGTATCAATAGATGAATCGCTCCCAGTGGTCCAAGTATTACCGGAACCAGCAGCACACACACGCCTGCGAGGTACGCGATGACTCGCAAGGTGGCTCCCGGCACTTGAATGAGGTGGTGATACGTGTTGCGTGCGGAGAGCTGGTGGGACGTCACACTTGCATCCCGTCCTGATACTTACTGATTCAGGTACTGTACCTATGTACAGGCAATGAGCAGCAGCAGAAGAAGAAGAAGAAGCAGGACGCAGCACTGTAGGTAATGATACTGCACGGTACTGTACCTGTGTCGATTCCCGGCCTTCTTCTTCTTCTTGGCCCTGTAGCATTTCCATCTCGATGCAAATCAGGGCAGTTAGGCGGCAGAAGCGGCAGATTAGGCGTGGAAAGGTGGTGGTGGTGGTGGTGGTAGTCCTACATACCTACAGTACAGTAGTGGTTGATGCTGATTAGCTGCAGATGCAGCACTCGTACGTATTCGAGCTGGAATGATGGCATTCTGCATGTTGTGGCTGGAGAGGTCAGAATGGCAGCAAAAGGTGGCGTCAACGGGATCGACTTGGAAGGACTATGTATTGCCTACCTAGGTACTAGTAGTAGTTAGACATGACAGCTTGGAAGTGGCGCATGCAGATACTAGAGAAGGACTTCCGTGGATGATTTGACCGGAAGCTGTTTGTTTCTGTCTCTGCTTGCTTTTAGCGAGCATGTCAGCGCGAGGCTTGAAGCTGGATGCGTGAGGCTTGAGGCGTGAGGCTGGAAGCGTGAAGGCGTCAGGCGTGAGGCTTGAGACACGACGTCGGGGCATGGAGATTCCGGGGGCTTGAGGCTCCAGCCACAGCCTGGAACTGGGGAGCGTGGCACTGCTGTAGGTAGGTACTACCGAGTCCTCGTATGTATGTACCCTGAAGGAGAAGAGCACAGTAAAAGGTACCTTATTGCTGGACCGTACATACTTGGGCAAGTACAGGTCAACCAATCTATCTGCAGCAGTCACATTCGTCGAAAGATGACATTTGGGGAAAGCGAAATGGGCTCGACTGAAAGCGCTGCTCGCTCCGCAGCAGGGACTGATAGCGGCTATGATGCCATGGCGGTCGCTGTCAGTCAGTTGCAGGCCTGTGAAACGGCGTGCTTGCAGGGAGCCTCTTGCCCTCAGTGACATGTCCCTGCCCTGCCATGCCATGCCTGTGAAGTGAAGTCAAGTGAAGTGAAGTCAAGTGAAATGTGCTTGTGCCAAGGCAGTGCAGTTTTCAGTGCAGCAATAGTAATAGTAATGCCTGTTGTACAAGAGCGTCAAGTGCAAGAGAACAAGAGAACAACTGGAAGAGATACAGAGGAACGTAGGTACCTACAAGGCTTGAACAAGAACAGATGCTACTAATCTGCCTTAGCGCAGTCTGTGGGTCCGCCAGCCAACCCCTGCCACCGCCCAAGTGGACCCCAAGGTGGGAAGTGGGGTCTCCGTTCACCCAAGTACACCGTGCGAGACGGGCCGCATGCCAGACGGTGGAACATGCCATGCCTGCCATCACGTACTTGAATCTGTGGTGCCCCCTTCCTGGGCGCGTGCAGAGAGAGGAAGAGAAGAGAAGAGAGAGAGAAACAAAAGAGACTCACACAACACACACCAATCTTCGTCCCGGAACGAAAATCGATCGCTTCCATTTCTTTTTTTCTTCTTCTTCTTCTTCCTCTTGTTCTTCCCTTCCCAATTCTTGCAACGAGACGGACGCGAACAGAAGCCTCATTCCATTCCTCTCCACCGCCCTTGATTTACCCTTCTTCCATACCTCGCTTGACGCCTTACCTTACCTTATCCTTCGCACCAGCTTCTTCTTCTTCTTCCTTCTCTGACCACAAGTTCTCTCCCTTTGTATACCATCTATTTCCCTCTTCGCCTTCTATTCGCCGCCGTGCCTCGTTGACGAGTATTGGTCTTTGAAGCCTCCCTGCGCAGCCATTACATCACAGCCAAGGAGGAATCGATATCGGCGCACCAATTTATTGCTTCTGCGAGCCCTTGCCAATCAATACTGGGGGAGCTTATCAAGGAGCCGCTCTTCTTCTACTACTACCGGTATTACCAGAGGGGCAGGACCACCACCCGATATCTCGCCATACATATACGGCACCGAGCTTTCATCCAAGCTCCAAGCAGAGCTTGCAGACATCCTCCCACCCCATTGAGGATATCGACTTTGATATCGACTCGCTCTCTCAACCCTCATACTCCGGCATGGCCCAACTCGACGTGCACATGTCGTCCACCACACAGACCCAGACCGTGCTGCCCAATGCACCGGCTCTGCCTCCCCGAAGCGCCCTGAGGGCCTCACGTCTGCTGGCCACGATGCCCCAGAAGCTCTCAGAGCACCGACCCGTCCTCACTTCCGCCGCCCCGCACCTCCTCTACCTGTCGTCCGAAGAGGACGTCTCTTCTTCAGCCGACGACTTTTCCGACTGCGACTACAGCTCCGATAGCGAGCACGCGCAAGAGACGCCCGAGCAGACGTCAAAATGCCACGACACCGCCCGCATCGTCTCCGTCGTCTTCTCCGGCAAGCCTTGCATCGTCCAGCTCTCCCGACGATCAATATCGCCCAGCTCATCGGCCGACTGCCCCGTGAGCAAGCTTACCAGGACAGCAACCGAGCCCATCATCATGAGTCGCAAGGGGTCCACCAGCTCCACGTCGTCGGCCAAGATGGTTTCGCAGCACCCTCCGCGATCGAGCAGCATCATGTCCCCCGTCGCGTCGCCCTCGTTCCTCAACATGGATCCCTTTGCGGCAAAGGCGGAGCCCGAAGAGCCGGAACCTCAGCTTCGCAAGACGGCGCAAATGTTCAAGCGGACGCTCAGCCTGGTCAGGAAGCGTAGCAGGCCGAACCTGAACGCGGCGGCGTCTCGATCCCGAGAGGGTCTGTCATTACAGACGTGCCCCATGGAACAGGTCGGAGAGGACAAGGAGGAGAACCACACCAGCACGCCCCGGAGCGCGACGTCACTACCGCCGCCCATGTACCACGAGACGATGGCGGCGAGGAGAGCCAGCAGCTACTCGGGCACGACGACGCTATCGCCGGTCAGCGATGCATCGTCCCCCCTGTCACCGACTAAGCGAATCCGTCAGGGCTTTCTGACGCGGCGGCGAAGCATCAGAATATAAGCCTGATGAGCCAGCACACCGCTTGCCCTTCTATCCATTCTCTTCTCCCGTCTCAATCCTTATTTTCTTTCGACGACCGGATCCACATTCTTCTTGATTTTTCTCTCTCACGAATGCTCCGACCAACAGCTGGACTCTACGTTCTCCCCCCTCGCGCGAATTCCGTGACGACGGTGTCGGCACCCTTTCTCCTTTTATCGTACCTTTTCCCTCCTCTCTTGTCGATTTGCGTGTTATAGGCGGGGTATTTCTTTTCTACATGGCATAACAAAATGGGGGCACATTTGCACAGAGCGGCGTTTTAACGTGGGGATTCACATGAGGAAGAGTTGATCATGCAGACGAACATGGCACTCTCGGGGAGGCTGAGCATTGCCTCGATATCGGCGTTTCTTTTGACTTCATTTTCACTGGGACAGGGAGAGCCGCGATGATATCAGCTGGCACATTTGTGTTTCGTTTTGTTTTTTTCTCGTTTGTTTCCGCTTTAGCCTACGCAAGTAGTCATGATGCTACCAATGAAGAAACTCATGGACCAGGCGCGTTTCATTGGACCGTTTGCTCATCTATTTTCCGTAGAGTGAAGATTTTTTGCGTGTGCGTACTCTGGACTAATTCTTGACCCCTGCCTGCTGCTGCCTCTGCCGCCGCGTGGACAGGCTGTAGCTCATACTGTAGAAACCTTGGGTCTCCTTCACCGACGTTGTGAGTTGACCGGGGTCCGTGGCCTGATGGGCAAAAACTCCTGCATTTTGCATTGTGCATCCCTGGCCAGCGAGGCGGTGGCCGTGAACGTGTACTCGCAGGTAGTATTATTACTTGTTTTACCGTTTCCTTTTATTTCCTTTTTCTTCTGTTGGCGATGATCTCTCCCTCGAGCAAAAACACAGTGATATCTTATTATTATATGGAGGTCCATGCTCTTGGAATTACACTATGCTGATGCTCCAGAGCTGGGAGCTGATGTTGTTGTAGTATAGTAGATACTAGTAGTACCAGTACTACTATTACTAGTGCCTCTGTTACGTGGCTGTTCTGGAGCCGGGAGCTGGGCCGGATGGAGTTTTCTGGTGAGGATTGCTCCAGTGCTGGTCACCGGATGAGTCTTCCTAGCTTCTTGGGTTCAAAGCAACTCAACTGCCTGACGATGCTTGTTTAGTGGGTATTTTCAAGGCAGTTTTTGCCATGTCATGTCATGTCATGGCCGTAGTAATAGTACGAGCAGACCGCCTTAGTAGTAGGAGTTTGGGAAGCCATACGTGCATGTGCTATGGAGACAAGTTTCCAGTTAAGACATTGCGTGAGCCTATGTACATACGTTATTAGCTTTGGCAAGGTAGAAAGGGTAAAGGTGGTTGTTGTCAAGCTCCTGTTCTGTTGGAAGTCTTTTCTTTACTACTATACTAGTATATTACCCGCTGTGGAGTTGAAGATGTGTTGTACATGCATGGAGATGGAGTTTGCCGGGCACATGGTGGATGCTGCCGAAGCTTGCTTGACTGTACGAGTACTATTACCTAGTACTCGACTTGGGATAGGTATTACTTACCTAGTAGTAGTAGTATGACTAAACTTGAATGGACATGGACAATTGAGTGTAATAGTATCCGGGTGGTGTATCAAAAGTGACGGTGTGTCTTGTCTTTGCCTTTTTTGGCTGAAGTTGGCTTCCCACTCTGCTATACAGACAAAAACACCACGATATGATACCATCACACAGCAACAGCCAACATTAATGCGGGCCATGTCCCCCCTTCTTCATTCACGTACGGCAATTCCTCGTGTCATCACTTTGGTACCTGAGCGTTCGCTGCACGAAACTTTTCATCTCTGCGCTCCTGCGTCTTGCATGCTCTGTTTTTATTTTGGGGTGGACCACATGTAGGTAGGGAGAGAAAACGGACATGTGAGCAATCTCTGTAATATTCCGTGCTTCTATACTAGGTAGACACGCGCTTTAGCATGTAGTAGCTGCCTGCGGGTAGTACTAATGTATATATAGGAACAGTATGTATGTATGTATGTACCTCTAGTATGAGACAACATACTTGCATATGATGTATGTAGGTAGGTCCCCTTACATGCCTCACCTCCAGATGATCCTTTTGCTTTCCGCGTCCGAGTACTATGTGATGATGGCGCTTATTGTAGGGGCGGGATGGGGGAGGTAGGGTTGCGGAGCAAGGCTGCTTGCCCTCTACAGTATCATACGTGTATATCTTGTGTACTCGTAGTAGGATGGACAAGGCTCTTGTGCAAACGGTCACCAAGTGTTTTACTGTGCGTGTTCTTGTACGAGAGGTGTAATAACAAGTTGCGTGCAGCCTTGTTTCAGCCGGAGAGGGCGATGCGGGTGCCTTGCTTTGAGACCTTGTTCTTCTAGGGATGTGCTCTTTTAGGTAGTATCTTATATCAGGATACGATGTTGCAATAATACGTAGCGGTGCCTGTAAACTGTGCGAGGAAATAATGAAACGACTGCCTAATCGAGTTGTATTCGTAAGATGATGTCCAATAGTAGTAGCGAGAGCAATATTGCCTGGCTATTATGCAACAAATGCTACTTGAATCACAAGCTACGGAACAAACCGACTGTTACAGTTTCTTGACTAGGTAGGTAGTAATACTGCCTTTCACGCTTCCGGCTCGTCGCTCGCAGCAGAAAGAAGAAGAAAAACGGAAATGTCCCTGCTGACATGAAACACTGCATTTGCAACACCCTCGAGCTGCTGACCTACAAATCACACGAAACACACAAAACCACATACCTCTTGTGCGTAGATCCTCGGGTGCTCTCACCCAGCTACATACATATGTTAGTATACAGCTGCTGCTGCTTGCAAACTTTGAGAAAAAAAAGCGCGACATTTGTCTAAGACAGCCAACTCATGCTGATGCGTGCCTGGTCGCCAAATGTCTCACCTGCAGCCTTTTCTTCCTTGCCTTTACCACAGAGACTTGCATAGTACATACATATTACTTGCTCTCTCCTCCTGAACACGGAAACGTCCAATGCGTGACAAGAGTGCCTCCATCCACTGAGGCACCTAAAATGATCAAACGAAAGCCAAAGACATGCTCAAACCGCGTCTCCACAAACAGGCATGGAAAAGAAAAAAAAAAAGAAAAAAACAAGTGTCTGACAGCACATCAACTCTCCAACAAACCCGCATCCATCTCCATCTCCATCTCTCCACCAAAAAGACACACACAAGACAAAGCTGAAGAGCAACAAGGGGGGGGGGAAAAGACACGGTGCACTGTGAGATACATACATACATACACAAGATACATTCATTGCCATGGAACCTTCCCCCCGTCCCCTGAGAATCGCGCCCTTGTCCGGTGCCCGCTCTAAAAAGAAAAAGTCGAATCGCTTTTTTTTGCCTTGCCTTGCCAAAACAACAAAGAAAGGCGGAAAAAAAAAATTGAGAGACAAGCGACCTACCGAAATGAGCAATATCCCCACATCTCTTTGAGCTCTTGTGTGAGCTGGTCATTATCATCATCAGGCACTTGTAGTACTGATTGATACTGTATGTGTTTTAATGCTATGTAGTATGGGCAGAACGTTGAGGAGGGCGAAAAAATGAGATTGTCAGTTCTTCATTTCAACGGCAATTGAGATCTAGGTATCAATGCAGGTACTTGGTACCGCAAGTATCATCATCCTCATCACCATCACCATCATCATCTTCATCATCGCCGACAGAAACACCACGAGTCAAAAGAATGAGCTATCACGTCTTCAGTCCCCATCCTTCACGTGTCAAGAAAAAGATACGGTGTGCATATGCACGGAAGCCTCACAGAAGCCCCCCATCCATCCCATCCCTTCTCACCGCATCCCGCAAGAGAATGCTAGCCAGTTGTAAAAAAAAAAAATTCTTTTTTTCCAACACCAACAACAACAAAACCCTGACAAGCAGCAGCAGCAGCAGCACCACCACCACCCGCTCTCGTATCTGCCACGAACCCCCTTGTCTTCCCCCCTGGTTCGGGCTACTTTAGGCCCCTTCCCCCTCCTCCTCCTCCTCCTCGACTAGTAAAACCTCTTTTTGGGCTTCCCGTCCCCTGACGCCATCTCGCCTTAGCCCTCTTTTGCTCTTCTTCACCTCTCTTCAGACCTTCTTTGCGTTGTACTACTGTATCAATACTACTCGTAACCTAACCTGTTCTAGGAACAAGCATTCATTCTGTCCCACGCGATTTTCCCCATCACCGCCTTTGTAACTCGAGATGTTGCGCTCGGAAGACATAAACACTGTAGGAAATACATACCTAGTACGTAGTAATAACTTGGGGCACTCTAAAACGACTTTGACTCCATTTTCGCTTCTTCTCTCGCTTCGTGCCTAGTGTTCCCATGGTTCGCCTCCCCCCCTTGTCGTGGTAGAAACACAACACAATTAAACGCATGATGCTCATTCGACGATCCGTCATGCTGCTTCGATTGTTGGCCTCGTACGACTGACGCCAGCTGGTGATGTACTTTCAGCACGTCTCCATCTATTATCACGTCAACCGAGCCCCAGGCCTTCGAAACCGAGTCGCAACTCCATTCTCCTTCATAGTACTAGTATCATCGTCGCGCCTTGAACCCCAACGATCATGACTCGGCACAGTAAAAGACGCCATCACCAGAGACCTCAAGACCACTGCGCTGTGAACCTCCACGCACGACACGCCCAGATTACAAGATCCACCACCGGCCTTCAGCTGCACATCCGCTCAGACAATCCCCGACGCTAAACCGATCGCCATCTGAATCTCTTGTCTAAACAGTCTAGACGGGGCACGTGTTTCCCGCTGCCATGGAGACGCTTGATAGAGCTCTCGGATCCTCGTCCGTTTCAGCACAGCACGTGGGCGAGCGCAATCATACATGAACCATCATCGTCATTCAACACTCGACATACTTTTGATCAACCCGACAATTGATCCGAAACCCCTCTCAACGTCCCACCCCTCCCTCTCGCCGATAAGTTCCCTCGATAACCGCAGCAGCTTCAATAACCCGCGCCTTTTCTTTTCCGCCTGGTTTCCTTCTCCTGTCCCACCTTTACCCAACCTGCTACTCCCATGGCACCTCGGACGCAGTCCTGGAAGAGACAAAAACCATATATCATAGATTCGACACGAACGAGAAATCACACGTACAACGTCCCCGATCCGACGCAATGCTGGCTGTGGACGCAAATGGATGCTACCTTGAGAAAAAAACGCCTTGATTTGCTAAGTTCTTTTAGTTACCGTTGAGAGTGGCCTGAGTCTCTGGGCTCACAGGGCCGGGCTGCTTTGTCCGAAGGGTCAACGAGAAGGGATACTCCTCGGGGTCCTCCTCCTCACTAGATCCATCGCGTTAGCCTATTCCTTTAGGACTGGGGGATCGAGTCAAACTTTTGAGATACTTACGGCAGCTTCCAGGCAACGTAATCCTCCGTGCTCAAGCCTTCTCGCCCTTCCTGCAAGCTGGCAAAGTCTCCAGGGGTCATCATGCCAGTCCGATCGCGAGGCGAACCAGGGACGGAGAATGGCCTGGAGATCTTCTGCTCCGGCCCACGGATAAAGTCCTCCAGCTCCTCTTCTTCCTCGTCTCCGTGGAACGAGTTGGGGTATGCTCGTCGGAGGGCGAGCTGGCGGGCCTTGATATACTCCATACCCATGCGCTTCCAGTCAAGCAGGTCGCTGAGTCGCTCAGTACGGTTTCTCTGGTTGATACGTTGACGCCGGCTCTTGCCACAGTAATCAAACATGAATTGACACAGCTGGTTGACAGAATCCTCGACGCCCTTCATCCTCCGGTCCACAATGTAGATACCGTAGTCGCTGGAGTTCTCAATGAGCTCTTCCATGTAGCATCCAAAGCCAGAGAGGTTGGTGGTGATGCTCGGGACACCCATGACCGTGCATTCGGCCGGGGTGTAGCCCCATGGCTCGTAGTACGAAGGGAAGACGCCCATGTGGCAACCACGCACGAAGTCGTCATAATCCAGGGGCAGCACGGGGTTGGCCGAGTTCAAGAACTCTGGGTGGAACACCACCTTGACACGGTCCGATGGGTGATTGAACAGCTGCACCCGGCGGATCTGGTTCAGGACGGGGTCTTCGCTGTCGTTGAGCATGTTGTGGGTCACAATCGGCGGGAGGCCGTGGCGTTTCATGGCAAACAGCCGCCGACGCAGGAGAACGCGGTCCTGGCCGGAAATGAGCTCCTTCTCATCAGGCATCGGGTCGCCCTCGTGCCACTTGAGTGAGCGCTCAAAGATACGACGACCAATGGCCTGCTCAATGATGTTGGTGGTATCCTTCAGAGACTTGATGACAGCCTGGCCCTTGAGGGCCTCGACAGTCAGCGACGTGGTCTGAGCAGGCATGATGATGAAGGCAACAACAGTCATCTTGCTGTTGGCCGCCTTGAGACGGTGGTTGAGTCGGGCAAGGGACTCGATGAACATGTCGACACCCTTATTCCGGAACTCGTAACGGCCAGCAGTGAAGAAGTACAGTGTGTTTTCAGGCTCAAAGTCGTAGTGGCCGTAGAAGTGGCCTCTGACGAAGTCGTGGATCTTCTCCTTGGCCTGCTGGTGCAGGTTCTGGAACTCATGGACAGCCGAGAACTTGGTGACATTGAGGCCGTTGGGCAACACGCCATCAGGCTTTCGCTTTAGGAGATGCTCCGACTCAAAAGCGGTGATGTGGGACACGGTTGTGAAGACGTCGCACGAGTGAGCGGCAGCACGCTCAATGCAATACCGGTGGTAGATGCCGCGCTTTCCCGCCTCGGCGTCGACGTCAAAGTATTGGAGGTTGTTGTAGAAGTCAACCGAGCCGGCACAGAGATATCGCCCCAAAAGAGTGGCATGAGTCGTGAAGATGGTGGTAACATCGATTCGTCTCTTCTTCGTAAGGGGCAGAGCCACACCGGCCAGCCACTCGTGGAAGTGAGCGATGACGGCCTTCTCCTTCTCATGGCATACAAACTACTTGCGTGTCAACGACAGCCAGTCAAACGCTGAAGCCCCACGACGAGGCTCAACAAGAGGGTTGGGATGTGGGTGAAAAGACGCTTACCTCTCCCAAAAACCACGCCACCAAGTAACCAAAGACAACGGCCTCATTGGTCTCCTCATCATCAGGTGGAGATGGGATGCTGGCTACTGACCAAAGGTCCGACTTCCACTCGTTGACGTAGTTGTAGGCTGTCTTGGTATCAATGAGAAGAACGCGAGGGGCTCCCTCAATGAGCCATCGGCCGTACAGCATGCCAATTCCGCGATCCTTCATGGTCTGCATGGTGGCGGCCAGCTCCTTATTGGTGGGCTCCATTTCTTCGACCTCGACTGCGGCCTATTTCTCGTCAGTTGGTGCCCAATTTTGAGTCATTAATTTAAAATCTGTCAAAGGTAGGGGACGTACCGATTGGTGGTTGAGTGGACCGATGAGTGTGTAGCGATCGCCATATTCAGCCGTGGTGACAGGCGCCTTGGACTTGAGGACCGAGTAGATACCACCCACTGCCAACGAAACAACCAGATTAGCGTTTGCAACGTCGTCTATGTTTCTGCCTGATATTGGGCAGAAACGAGGACTGCGACCATGGGTGACATAATCGCAAAGGGAAGCAGGAGCAGAACTCACCTCGATGAGCTACTTCGGTAGCAATCTCAAAGAGAAGGTGGTTCTTGATATCGCGAACCGGGTGTCCGTCGGCCATTGCGTCGATCTGGACTGCAAAAAGTCGGGCGAGCTTGTTGTTGACCTTTGGGGAGAGCTCCGGCGGAAAAGCCTGTGCCAGGGGCCGACAGACCAGATGACGTAGGTATTAGGGCTGCGCGAGGCCGCACAAGAGGAATCAGGCTGGGGATCTGTAAGCGTAAGTCTCGCAAAAGCCAGGACAAGAGGTGAAGCGAGCCGACGATGCGTGCCGCCGCCGCCAGGAGCAGAAGAAGCAGAGTAGGAAAAGCTTTTTGCTCAGTTGGGCCGAGTTTCGGTGCGAGAATATTGTGGTGTGATGGGTTACCTTTGAACTAAGAGCTTCCGGCTGAGGTGGCGTTGCTTCTAAGACGAGAGTCTGTCTTGCTGCAGCGGGTGACGAGCGAGCGCGAGAAGCGAGGCAAACAATGGCGAGGCGCGTGAAGCAGCAAAAAGGGCTCTGCAAGGCGGGAGAAGAGCTGGATCGGAGTCTGAGGCCTTGGGATGAGCAGGAGAGGAAGAAATAGAATCAGGCCGAGAGGGGAAGAGAAACTTGATGAGGGACTTGGACTGAAGCTTTGGAGGGGTGCTACAGAGAAAGTGGGGACCTCTCGAGGGCGGTGGGTCTGGGGTTGGCGGATAGCGCTCTGCTAGTCCACAGGGCCAAACTGCTAACAGCCGTGACCTGACGATGCCCGCCTGGAGCGAGTGAGAGGGTTCATGTACGCGATTAATTCTGCAGACTGCCCGTGTTGATGCATGCGGATCAGCGGGAGAAGGCCAGCCTTTGGGTTCTGGAATTGGGCAATTGGGCGCTGCCGGGCTTACCTAAGGTCGGGCGCTGTGCTCTCCATGCTTTGCTGCCCTATTTTGCGCGATTACCCTGATGTCTCCTACCCAGTCTTTGGGCGCTCTCGTATAATACCTCCTGGTAGTAGTACTACTAGGTAGGGAGGAGGTAGGTAGACTTCTGCCCTTGTCTTCAGCCTCGGTGGCGTCCCCCCGACAATGAACCAGTTTTTTTCAGATATGGAGCACTTTTGGCCGCTTTCTGCCAGGACTAACAGCCAGTTCTGCCTGCCTCCACCGTCCCGCTGCAAAAAGGCGCTTCCAAGGTCGTTGTTGCACGGTTCCTTGTCTAGGCGTGGCCGCCACGCAGCGCCTCTCATCATCATCAACCGCAGCCCGGAGCCGCTGACGTGCCACCGCCTCTGTCAGAGCAGACGGTTGCACGTCCCTGCATGACACAACGGCCGCTTCTCTTCCCACTCAGCGGGTCAAGAGGCAAGCCAACCGTGGGCAAGGTGAGGAGGTGAGGTACCAGAACTGGCCTTGTGCACTACCTGCCTAGCAGTGTGGGGATGACGCCATGGATTGCGGGGGAGCTGAGCGAGCTTATGAGCGCGGAGATGCGGATTGGCTGGTGTTTTGCGTCTGGACGGGCATTTTCCCATGGCATCTTGTCGTCTTTCTGCCACGAGTCTCCAATGGGAGAAGTGACAGAGAAGCCCGTTGCGCGACTTGCATGTGTCGCTGCTGCATCGCTCCGCATCCAGGCGGCGCGGCTCGGGAACGCAGTTTGGGTAGTATCCCATGCTCAATTGCACGGCAGTGACGCCAATACGCTTCGAACTGGCAAGGAGTCGCACGGCTGAGCAGAGATGCACCCGAATCACGATCCAGGCTGTGATGTTCGGTTGGAAACCCGAAAAAAATGACGTATAACGCCCATCAACGACGCTCTGGCAGCGTGTTGGCCGGGTATGTGTGCGCTGGCCATTCCGTCTGGAGTAGGGATCACTCCGATCATGGCCACTTTATTGAGAAACCAGAAAAAATGATCTAGAAACGGTAAATCGATCTGTCATTCCCCAAATTATTCGCTTTCTGACCGGTGGCAGTACAGTATTAGTTTATCTGTTCTGCTCTGTTGTCGCTTGGCTTCACAACTTAGATCATCAATGGGGTGGTCTAGATGCAGCTTAGCGTGCATTAGGCCGCTTGTTCAGCCTTGTAAAACGACAACTCCCATTGGATGCAGTTTTCTGCCATGAGCCCCGCAGTGGGTTCCTGACACGCAAGGCTGCGCCGTTCATCCAAATTTTTTTGAGATTTCCATCTAGCCTACAACCAGCCATCGTCGGCAACACGCACCAAACACAGCGAAATCCTTGCGAGTGCCATTTCCCGTTGGCCAAAGACTATTGGAACGTTTATAATCCTCAGTTTCTCTCAGCGGACATTATTGCAATCTTTCTTCTGCCACAATGGACGCCTCATCTGCTCAGGTGAAGGTCGTCTTCACCACCGACGAGCCAGACCTCGTCCTCCCAGAGTCCAAGAGACAACTGCTCGTGCCAGCAGGTTGGTGCCACTGCCTCCTTTTCCTCATACATCTACTATCCACGCCGATCACGGTACGAAAAATGCTGACGTTTCCCAGACATCAAGCGCTATGGCCTCTCTCGCATCTTAAACTCCGAGTCGATGCTGGATACTTCATCGCCCGTCCCCCTCGACTTCCTCGCAAACGGCACCTTTTTGAAAACGAGCATTGAAGAATACCTCAAGTCAAATGGCTTGTCCCAGGAGACAACGTTGACCCTGCATTACGTCCGCAGTCTTCTGCCCCCAGTCTACGAAGCCAGCTTTGAGCACGACGACTGGGTCAGCGGCGTCGACGTCCTGTCGTCGACTTCCCCCGCCGGCCTGCTAGCTGGCGATGCCACTGTCAACGATCGCGTTGCCAGTTCCTCTTATGACGGGCTTGTGCGGATCTGGAACCCTTCTGGAACGGCAATCGCCGTTTCCGCAGGTGGTAAAGGCGAGGGACACACTCAGCGCATCAACGCCGTGCGATGGCTGTCACCGACTCAGCTGGCGTCGGCCGGCCTCGATCGAAAAGTCGTGGTGTGGGACTACAAGGAGGCGGACGATGGCTTCTCCGGCACCCTCAAGCCCAACATGGAACTCTGGGGCCACGAGAAGAACATCCACAGCATCGACGTCAACGGCGCCACCCGACGTATCCTGACTGCCTCGTCCGACGGCCGCGTCGGCTTGTGGTCCGCCTCCAAACGAACGGCGCCCCAGGCCGACCCCGAGTCCCTCCCCTCGGCGCACAGCACCAAGCGCGCCAAGCTGTCCAACGCCGGCTCTACCGCCCAGCGCGGACCCCTGGCCATGATCCCCCTGCACGACGAGGCCGTCACCGCCGCCATCTTCCACCCCAAGGACTCGACCGTCGCGTACTCGGCGTCCCTGGACCACACAGTCAAGACCATCGACCTCACGACGCAGCGGGAAGTCTCCCGCCTGACCACCATGCACCCCATCCTGTGCGCGACGGCGCTGCCCGGCACGTCGCTCGTGGCGGCCGGCTCTTCGGCGAGACACATCACCCTCCTCGACCCCAGAGAGTCCGCCGCCGCCACGGCCGCCATGACCCTTCGCGGCCACGTCAACATGGTCGTCTCCGTGGCCCCCAGCCCGGAAAACGACTACTCGCTCGTCTCCGGCTCGCACGACAGCACGTGCCGCGTGTGGGATCTGCGCAGCGTCCGACCTGCGTCGTCCGAGGAGGGCGGCGGCAGCGTCAGCGAGCCCGTCTACACCATTGGCAGGGAGTGGCTCAAGGGCAAGAAGCTGCCGCCTGCGGGAGACGGCGCCAAGGTGCTGAGCGTGGTGTGGGACAAGACTTGGGGAATCGTCAGCGGAGGAGAGGACAAGAAGGTTCAGATCAACCGGGGCAAGGGGCTGCTGGCATCATAGAAAGGCTTGGTTCTACTGAAAGAAGAATACAAAAAGACTGCCCAATGTTTGCATATACCAGAAGGCTACCGTACTAATTATACAACGCGATCATGTTCTATCGATCCTAAAGAAAGAGAGAAAAAAAGAAGAAAAAAAGTCTCATAACTCCATGTCTCATGTCGTGTCTGCCGCCTCTGCCTGCTGCTCTTTCATCATCTTCTCTGCCGCCTCTGTACATTCCCTCACCAGTGTCGAATACTTATACATGTACGGCTTCGTAAGATCTATGAGTGACACGATCTCTTTATGCATTCTAATCGCAGGATAGGGCAGTTTCTCAGCCTGTATAGCGTCTATAACGTAACCAACAACAGTGGCCGTCAAGAGCGGTGGATCTCGCAGGAGCGCTGCGATATCGGAAGGGCAAAGGTCCTCGTTCTGATGCCAGATGTAGTACGCTCGGAGGCGGGCAGCCGTTGTCTCCAGCTTGTTCCCTTTCGAGGAGCGGTACTCTTTCATTTGGGCTTCGGCTTCGATGATGCGCGCATCTCGTGTGTCTTCAGGCTTCAGGTTTGCCTCTAAAGACTCAGAAGCTGCGTCTCCCATCACTGATGTTTCCGACGCTCCAAGTTCTGATGCTGAAGCCTTTAGTGATTGAGCTCTACGCCTCGCGGTTCTCGGCTTGTAAGGTCTGCGTCTTGATATGGGGGTTGTTTTGTCTGTAGAAGTTGTTGAAGGGTCCACTGTCGAGCCATCCTCACTTGCTTGAGCCTCAACGACTGGGGGCTCGGGAAGGGGGATGGGCAGCCTCAGTTCCGCATGGTGCGGCCTTGGAGGGCATGGCACAATTGCCTTTCGTTTCTCCTCCAGCACGTAGTAGAGCTGAAGGCCTGCGTAAGCATCTGAGGCGGAATCTGCCAATTGTTAGTCAAAGGTAAATCAACAGTCATCTGCATCAGCAAAAGAAAAAAAAAGTTAGTCTTACAATGAATTTGTTGAGGGTTCAGTCGCCTCATCCAATTGCCGGTTCGAACAACGAGACCCTTGTACAGAGGAAGCAGTAAGTGGTCTTCGACTTGGGTAGCCAACGACACCAGCCCCTTGTTGACCATGGAAGGCTTCTCTGGCAAATACTTGACGACTTTGTAGAGGTGGCTCAGCTCGAAGACACCACGAACAGTGATACCGAGGTAGTTTTTGAGGCGGGTGCAATCTCCGCCGATGTTGACGCCGACCTTGCTCACGTTAGGATTCTCCAAGATCTTGCGCAACGACGGCGCAACTAGATCGCCATCTTCTTTTGCAAACAATGCCACATGGATCAGGGCAATACGGCTAGGACTTGCAATCTGAATGAGAGAGACGTTCTGCCGCGGCCCGTCCGTACGTGTTGCGTACTTCATCCACTCGAGGTCGAAGCCGAGGACATCCTCGTTGAGGAAATACTCCTTGCAGACACGCTCTGCCGTGGCTTTACTTTCACAGTAATGAACCTTGACGTTGTCCACGGCGCCATTCTCACCAGCTCGGTGGTACATCGTATGTGACCAGTGAGACTGTGAGGTGCCAGGGACAGCGGCACGAGCTGCGAGGAACTCTTCTTTGGAGATGCTGAACTCGAGCGGCGTCGACGGTGGCTCGACAATCGCCTTTGCACCGGCATCAGCACCACCATCAGCTCCGGCATCAGCTCCGGCATCAGCTCCGGCATCAGCACCTGCACCAATAGCAGCGCCGGCAACAGGAGCGGCGATGGCGATGGCTACGCCTGAGACAGCTGCGATACTGGGTCCGAAGGGAGAGATTGTTGGTGTAGATGGTGTTTCGAAACCGCTTGAGCGTGGCAGAAATGGATTCGCACCAGTGCCAGTGCCAAACACGGCGCCGCTTCCCGCAGAATTGACGGGAACATAGTTCGGCTCTGAGAAAGCAATCGGCGGCCTATCAACATCTCCTGAGCGTGTTGGTTGCGCTGATGGCACTGACTTCTGGACGGTGTTATTTGCCGAGCACACGCCGAATGGATCTGGACTGACAGGGCCCTCAGCGCGCCCCTCGTCGCCGCCTACAAGGGCCGAAGTGTGAAGGCCCGAGGCAGCGGTCGTCGTCGGGTCAGGCCGCAGAGTCGCAAACGCTCCGAAGCGCACGCCGAGCTGCGAGCTCCATAGCTGCTGGCTGGTGTGGTTGAAGCTCATGGTGCTCTTCGCTCTGGCAAGGGAGCCTCTGCAAGAACCCAGGACGGGAGCAAGCAGGCATGAATGCATGCTCCGCGCGGGCTGGCTGTCAAGTATTATGTATTCGACCGGTATCAGGCGGGAAATGCCCCCGAGCCTCTGAGAGCTGCTGCTGGTCCTCGGCCTGCAGCGGCAGCGGCAGCACCTGAGCAGCACCTGAGCAACGCCTCGTTCGTTACAGGTACAGCAACTTGCAGGCAGTATCGCGGGCCCAGGCCATTAGGAGCGCGCCGTGGGCAGCAGGGACGCCAGAAGGGGCTTGAGGGAGCGGGGGAGCTGAGGCTGCGGGCGAGGGTGATTGGCCGCCGGGGCAGCCATCATGTATCAGCGCGCTTAGGTGCAGAAAAACAAGAGCATGGGGATGGAGTGGCATCGGATGCGGATGCAGATGCGAGTGCGGAGGACGGAGCAGCGGTGCAACGAGGCCCTTCCTTAGTCAGCATCGCGAGGTTTGGCCTGTCCCGCGTGTGGGGGCCGGGCGCTGTTTTGCCTTGTCCTGCCTCTCGATTCTGCCCAATTTAGCGCCACCAGATCCGAGCCAGGAATGAATGACTTTGACCCAAGGGACTGTGAGAGCGTGAGCCAGATCCTTGTTCTACGGGCTGTTCTTGCGCAGTGAATCATTGTTCCACGGATACGCAAACTGGGGACTGCATCTCTTACGTCGGATCACCTTGGGCAACAGGCGAAACTACTTCAGGCCAGATCAAATCAAGATGGCGTCACAATTGCTACCCCTCGGTGAGTCCTGAGCAGACGACGACTGAGCCTCATGCTCCTCCAGCTCTGGCTCATCTTACTGACAGACAACCCCAGAACTCATCGACAAGTGTGTCGGATCTCGGATATGGGTCATCATGAAGGGCGATAAGGGTATGAAGGCCCAGCATTGCCCCGTCGCTGTAGTACCGTACGATTGTTGACACCTGGGGCAGAGTTCAGCGGCACCCTCCTGGGCTTTGACGACTACGTCAGTAAGTATCAGATGCGCATGAGCCATCAGAACCCTTCGTCATCTAATTAGGCTATAGACATGGTGCTGGAGGACGTGACGGAATTGTGAGTCTCGATCGAAATCCGCTCTGGATCTAGAGACAATGTTGACTTTTCACTCTTCTCTTCCTCCCTACAGCGACTACACCGGAAACCACACAAAGCTTCCCAAGATCCTGCTCAACGGCAATAATATCTGCATGGTACAGCTACCGACCCCCTTTCTTCTGTCATATCATTTATCGCACAGACTAACACAACCCCATAGTTGATTCCAGGAGGAGAAGGGCCAGTCGGTGCCACGGCTTAAGGATATCATCGGGTCACGCATATCTCAAGTGCATGCCGGATCACCATGGAAAGCGAACATCCCTCTACGGCATATGCCATGCATGTGGCGCGCAGCGCGCATGCTGTGACTGGACTACTGCGGTTCGGCGAAGATTGAACAAGTTTTATCTTGTTGGGGCATATCCAGTTCCGTGACTGGTTTGCCTTAATTCTCATTATGCATACTGTATGTTTTAAGTAGAATAAAACATCTAACGAAACTCATTCTCCGCGGCTCAAACGATGCCGAAAACAAATACCAGATTTCCTGTTCCTAAACGCCTTCCCTTGAGACAAGTGGTGAATTGCTCAGAGACCATTGGATGGCATGCCTCCTTGGTCTCCAGTGTTGGTGATGCGTCTCAGCTCCCACTCGCGAGTGAACTCCTGGTACAACATCTCGAGCTGGTTGATGAGCTTCTCGCATACCGACGTAAACACGTCGCGAGGAGAAATGGTTCCGTCAGTTTGGACCCGAATGTAAAGCTCGGGGACATTAGGATGAGCGACTGTTGTGTCTCGGTTAGCTTTGCCCCTTTGGTGTCAGTCGAGATCGAGACCTACTCTTGTATCCGGCCATGTAGACGTTGGGGTGCGCCTTGAGGTGCTCGGAGAGCAGGTTGCCCAGAGTGTGGTCTTCCTTCTTCAGAAGAAAGTCTGAAGTGTTGGACATGCCTATGAAGTAGAGGGTAAGTTTCGGGTTGACCCGATGATGTGCAGAAGCCACTGACCAGAATAGACCTTCTCCTCAATCTTCTTCTCGCCATCGGCGAGCAGAAAGAGCTCGAAACTGACACAAGGTTAGCACAATGCCAATTGGAAAACCAGGATAATTTAGAGTTAGGAAAGACGCAACGGATGGTCCTGGAGGTTGTCATGTTTGGTGTTGCAGCCTGCCATTTTCACTGAAGCCAAAGCGAATAAGAGATAACAAGAAGTGGTTGGTGTTGTGAAGAAGAAGAAGACGAAGAAGGAGAAGAAGAAGAAGAAGATGATGATGATGAAGCGTGCAGAATGATGGGGAGATTATGAAATGTGAGTTTGGCAGGTAGATGAAGTTCAGGCAGCTGCCAGATCATCGAGCTGCAAGCTCGTGTGCCATTGTTTGCGGCTCTGAGGAAACGGCAAGAGCAGACTGCGATGGTTGCTGATTGCGCACTTGCACAAGCGCAGCAAGCAATTAACAGACAAGAGCACATCATCAGCAAGAGCCGAGCTGTTGATCCAATAGCAGCCCAGGGCGAAGCGGTGTTTCGATGATTTGCTCTTGCCTTGGGAAGTCTGCATCCAAAGCACGATAGTTTCCGGCTTCAGGCGAGGCTTGGCAACATCACGGGAGATCGACTGGATCATCATGTGATAGAATATGACGACGACAGAAAAGAATCCACTGGTTAAAGTCAAATCTATACGTACCGATCCGGTGCGTTCATTTTGATGGGAAGTCGTTTGGTTGCGAAGGTTTGATGGTTCGCTCAAACGACGCGTTGAAGGAAGTCTCGACGGAGGCTGCACGGCCAGGGGATGTACCGTCAAGTCGGCGGCGAAAAGACAACTAGGTAGGAATATAGAAGAAGGCCAGGTTTATCGGATACTGTTGATGCCAAGTCTTCTCTGTCAGCCTGAGGCTTGAGGTTTCGATAAGAAAAGGGTTCAGATGGGTTCTGATGGCATCCTCAGTCAAGGGTGGTATGGATATTGAATGGTTCAACAGCGATGCGATGCAGAGGATGGGCGGCGAGGTTGATTTGACAGCACATCGGCTAAAGGCCGGCTAGCGTTGGGCGTCTGGTTTGGTCCACAGATCAAGAGGCGCAGAGTCGAACAGACTATTGAAAATGAGAAGAGACATAATCATAAATGAAGAATTAGAATAAACCATCAGTTATGCATCAGAATACCTGGATGCCATTAGACAATTTTGGTCGATGCGAGGAAGTTTTCACTACCGAAAGGTTTGGTGGCATTACCAGAAGAGGTAGTCCCTCAACAGATCTCCAGGCGCCAACTAAGAAATTCAGCACCCTCGCCGACAGCTCGACCTTTTCTTCCCCAACATCACAGACAAGCCAATGCCGCGAATCCCGCCATGGCTCTTTCGCAAGGCCAATCGTCGCTCACCCAACGTTGCTGCACTGCTCCCGGCATGCAGAGATCTTCAATCCGCCGTGAATGAGCTGCGATGGCTCAAAGAGCATGTCCACGGCATCACCCGCATCCAGCAAGAGGGCCTGCTCTCCAGACTGTGCAGGAAAAGAGGGCAGGGCTATCCTCTGCAGTACATCTTGGGATCCCAACCGTTTGGACCACTTGATATCAAATGCCGCCCCGGCGTCTTGATCCCCAGACCCGAGACAGAGGCCTACACCTACCACCTAGCTGACCTTATCAAGGCCGGGAGCTTGGGGGTTGGTGCATCGGACCAGAGTCTTGGTATTGTCGATTTCTGCACGGGCACGGGCTGCATACCTCTACTTCTCTATGCGTTGCTCTCCAGACGATTTGAACGCTTAGAGGTTCTGGGAGTGGACATCTCTACTCGAGCGGTCAGCCTTGCCAGAGCCAATGTTGCTCATAATATCAGACTTGGCCATCTCCCAAGTATGCGGCCAAATCACACCGTCGATATTCTACAAGGGGATATCTTTCAGGACCAAATCCTAGAAAAACTCCAAGAACAAACCTGGGACGTCATGGTATCTAATCCACCCTACATTTCCCGGCGAGCGTGGCACTACGGTGGTGGCCAGATTGGACACTCGGTTCGCAAGTATGAGCCGTCCTTGGCCTTGGTCCCCGGAGACGACATTCCCATTCCTACAGCTTGGGAGCATGAAGACGTCTTTTATGCCCGATTGTTAGACATCGCTTCCAGACTCAGGCCGAAAGCGATGCTTTATGAGATTGGTGATGAGATGCAGGCGGTTCGTGTTATTTCACGATTTTCTCAGCACAGACTCTCCGTGGGCTCACACATAGAGGTTTGGCGAGATTGGCCGGACACAACGCCAAGCCATGAAGAGGGCTCTCTGCTGGAAACGACGACAGCTGATGGGCGTAGCCAAACAGTCCTTGCAAAGGGTAGCGGAAACATACGTTCCATCTTCATTACACTTGGCTCCTGAGGTCGTTGCGTATCTCCTGAACCGTATCCCCTCCCGATTCTATCCTCGTACCTGATCCTCATGCGATGGTCTTGTTTGGTCAGCAATGTACAGTTTCCACGACCAGAGTTTGGAAGTACATACATAGTAAACCACAATAGATTCTATGACAGCACGACCTTGGTGGCAAGACATGAGAAGTGCGGAGTTTCTCCCAGGCGGAAACCCGATCCTCCGAGGCTACCCTGCATCGCTCCGAATGCCGGCACGTGACTCCGTACAATTTTCGGGGTTAGAGTGGGTTCGCTCGCCGGCAGGCTTCAATCTCGTGGTGTCATCTGGAACGGCTCAGAACTCTCAAGTCTGCGAAAAAAAAAAAAAAACGCCGAATCATTGATCGCGCTTTGCACTCAGCGCAGGGTCTCTTCTGAGGCACACTGAAACCCGGAGCCATCAAGCGCAATCCTGCGCAGCGAGCGAGACAAGCTTGCGCTGCTCTCTCGTGCCATCGACCCAGGACCGGCGGATCCGCCGCACGCCAGAAACCGCCGCCCTCCGCCATGTCAAGATATCTTCGTCAGTCGGGCCAGCTCGCGCGGCTGGCGAGGTTCTCAAACAGCGTGAGCTTACAGAGGACACAGAGACTCGTCGCCCGCCCCAGCGCAATTTCCCTCAGAGCGCTGCCGACTCCCTACGGCATTGTCCCGCGATTCTACTCCTCCAAACCCCCGCACCCGGACGACAGCAAAAACCCCGGTCCAGAGAAGCCGAACAGCCACAATGACGCAGGCGCAAAGAAATCAGATACAGACGGCCCGGAGTCGAACAAGGTACCTCTGCCGCCTCTACCAGAGGGCTGGGTTCGCCTTACCAAGGAGGAGATTTCTCAACTGCAATCGTTTCAACAATTGCTTCCCGAAGGCCAGAGACAGACCTTGAAAGACATTCTGGTGGGGATTCAGCATACCGGCGTGCCCGCCGAGGTCCGCGAGCTGCTACACAAAATGCGCCAGGGGCCCGGCAACTTGTCGATAATGGATAAGGGCAGACTTATGCGATGCGTCTTCATCACAGCCGAGCGAGTGGCAGAGTGGGAAGTCGAACAGCAGCAGCAGGGAAAGCGAGGCATGTTTGACAAGAACAACCCGGAGATGAACGATCATAAGGATGGAGAGAAGGGAGAAGACGCTAGCCGATCTCACAAGGCGTCTGGCGAATCCCAATCGAATCAACAAGGATCTGGAGGCAAATCTCCCAAACCGGAAAGAAACGGTTGGATGGATGCTCTCCAGACTGGTCTTGTTCTTGGTATCACGCTCTGGGCCATTGAATCGTTCAGCAAGCCCTTCTCCGAGAAAGAGATCACCTGGCAGGAGCTGCGCAAGGCCTTCTTGGATAAGGGCCTCGTGCAGAAACTGGTGGTGGTCAACGGGTCTCAAGTGCGTGTGGAGCTGCATCCCGATGCTGTCCAGGGAGCCACCGATGGGTCTGGCGCCAGAAGGACGTATGTCTTCTCAATTGGATCGGTTGAGTCCTTCGAGAAGAAGCTGGAGGAAGCCCAAGACCAGCTGGGTATCCCACCATCGGAAAGAATACCTGTCAGCTACGAATCAGGCGGCAGCACCCTCGGCAACCTCGTTTTAGCATTTGGGCCTACTCTTCTCTTCATCGGTTTGATCTTGTGGACGCAGAGGTCCATGGGTGGACGAGCAGGAGGTGCTGGAGGCATGTTCAACTTTGGAAAAAGCAAGGCCAAGAAGTTCAACGCCGAAAGCGCTGTCAAGGTCAAGTTCAGCGACGTTGCTGGTCTGGAAGAGGCCAAGACGGAGATTATGGAGTTTGTTAGCTTCCTGAAGCAACCTGAGAAGTTCGAGAAGCTGGGTGCCAAGATTCCTCGCGGCGCCATTCTCGCCGGTCCTCCAGGAACAGGAAAGACGCTTCTTGCCAAGGCCACTGCTGGAGAGTCTGGCGTGCCCTTCTTCAGCGTGAGCGGATCCGAGTTTGTGGAGATGTTTGTTGGCGTGGGCCCTTCTCGTGTGCGAGACTTGTTCGCGGAAGGCCGAAAGAATGCGCCCTGCATCATCTTCATTGACGAAATCGACGCCATCGGTCGTGCTCGTATGGAGAGCGGTCGTGGATTTGGTGGCAACGACGAAAGAGAGGCTACGCTCAACCAGATTCTGACCGAAATGGACGGTTTCAACACGCGGGAGCAGGTCGTCGTCTTGGCCGGTACCAACCGAGCCGATATACTAGACAAGGCGCTGATGCGTCCTGGCCGTTTCGACCGACACATCTACATTGACCGACCTACGATGAAGGGACGACAGGAAATTTTCCAGGTTTACCTTAAGAAGATTGTCACCAAGGAGGACCAGGAACATCTCGTGGGCCGACTTGCCACCTTGACCCCTGGCTTCTCCGGTGCAGACATTGCCAATGTCGTGAACGAAGCAGCTCTTATCGGTAAGTTCCCACATGGCCTATCATGTCATGTGTTTGCAGAGTTTAGTGGACTGACAGTTTGAACAGCCGCGAGAGAGAACGCAGACGATGTCAAGATGACGCATTTCGAGCGCGCCATCGAGCGTGTCATCGGAGGCTTGGAACGCAAGTCGCTGGTTCTCCGGCCAGAGGAGAAGAAGACGGTGGCTTACCACGAAGCTGGACATGCCATCTGCGGTTGGTTCCTGAAGCACGCCGACCCCCTGCTGAAGGTCTCCATCATCCCCCGTGGCCAGGGTGCTCTGGGCTATGCGCAATACCTGCCCCAGGATGCTTATCTGATGAGCACGAACCAGTTGATGGACCGAATGGCCATGACCATGGGAGGTCGCGTGTCTGAAGAGCTGCACTTCCCCACGGTGACGACCGGCGCCAGCGATGACTTCAAGAAGGTCTCACAGATGGCACGCAGCATGGTAACACAATGGGGCATGTCAGAAAAGGTGGGACCTGTGCACTTTGACAATGACCCGAACCGCATGGTGAAGCCATTTGCCGAGGCTACGGCCCAGCAGATTGATGACGAGGTGCATCGGATTGTGGAAGAGGCCTACACCCGGTGCCGAAATCTCTTGGTAGAGAAGAAGAAGGAAGTCGGTTTGATCGCCGAGGAGCTGCTGAAGAAGGAGGTGCTCTCACGCGATGACATGGTACGAATTCTTGGCAAGCGACCGTTCGACGACAACGAGGACTTTGAAAAGTTCTTTGGGGGCAAAGAGGAAAGCTCGCCGCCTCCATTCCCGACCGAGACCGACACCCCGAGGGAGGATCCTCCTGCACCTGCGCCAGCCTTTCGGGATCTCCCTGACGACGGAAAGAGGTGATGGTGATGCTATGTAACGGGGGCTGTTGGATCATGTATAATGGAAAAGGGCAGGGAATGGATGTACAGGCCGGTTAATCAAGACCGGAGGGGTTGAAGTCATCGATAGTAACGTTAGGGGATCAAGGGAAACTGTCGGGAACTTGACGACATGCCCGGATTGGCTGCCGCAGCTTCCCCCACGGAGCGGGTTTTCATATCGGCATCCCGTTGGTTGGAGAACGGCAGCCCGTGTTTATTGCTTTTTACGAGTCTCAACTCTACCAAGCGCACCGGGGATGCTAATTCTCGTGTGTATGTATTTACTTATCATCATATTGGCGTGGGCAGGGAAAGGGGGGGCGGGGGTTATTGAACTTTACTATGTACTCGTATCTGGATTTAGAACTCTAGACGTCTCAGTGGGACCAGGAAATCAAAGTAGAAGAGCACTACTCTGCTCGCAATGATGAAGATGTATGCCGACGAAGTTTGTATGGCGACTGCTGTGTCCTAGATAGGGACTTGCCTAGAATTAGGGACTGTTACTGGTACATGAGCAGTCGAACCTAAGTAACATGATGATATAGGAACGCCTCCTTGAGTACGTGAAGCTACATAGACTAGATATTTGACACGTATCGCTGTTTTGATCATTGGTTGCTTTCCAATAATGCTTGCTCGCGATTCCTCTTCTTAAACATCGTCGTTGTCTGACGTCTGTGGAAGTGTTGGAGCAAATCCCCGGAACGATTATGATTGGCTGGAAAAGTTCCTTCCACTGCAGGACGCTAAAATCGGGAAACGGGACCATCCAGACGTTTGTGGCAATTCTTCTTGTAAATGCAAGGGGACCCAAGAAGATAAAATAAATAGATTTGGACTTTTTCTGACTTATGGTTCGGAATTATATCTTGGCATTTGGTGCGATTCCAAGTGCTGCTGCCATGTTGAGGGTGAGGCTCTCAGGTGGCTTACTTCCATGTCTTTTCTCTATTAAACGCTTGGACTGGTTACACAACAGGTGGGAAAGTTCTGTGCAGGACATGAGCTTGTGGTAAACCAGTGCAGTTTCTTTGGTCACTGGTTGGTTGTCAAGGTTCCTGTGACTGTGATGAATGGGATCACTATTGAATGCCCGTATCAATCAAACATCCGATTCCTTGTTTCGGTTGGGAAACCTGTGAAGTGGTCTTGAGATGGCTGGCTGCTTGTATGAATGATGAAATTGAGCTTCATGGGGACATTCAAACGAAAGTGTCAATTTCGGCAGTTTAGGAATATTTGCGTGTTCTCTGAGCTTCCGAGCTGATATATCTTGTCTCTCGTTTTATATATGGGGTCCAATTGAGTGCGTTACAGTACAAGACTCCAGAGCTTTTGAAATGAGCTGTCCTTCGAGACAGTCAATTCACAGAGGCGGGCTAATTGATTTCCCGAGGCTTCAGAATCTAGAAGGAGAATCTCAAGAGATGAGTTGTTGTTGCCTCTTGCTTTACTGCCAAGAGTGCCTTCCATATCATTCACGTCGTCAATTTCAAGGTCCCGAGAATGTATCTGGTACGAGTATAGAGTTGTGCCCCACTGCCTCGATATGGAGATGAACATGCGGTAAGGTGATCTAAACCAAATTGGGCTATATTTTGGTTGAATGTGTGCCACTGTCATCAAATTGGTTGATTTCTTAGTGGTGGCGCCTTCCGATCTTGAATCTGGATCTAGCCTGGAGAAAAAACGAACGGCAAAAGAAGAGAAGAGAAGATGGAAATACGGTGATAACGTAGCCAAGCCTCGTCCCTTTGACACTCTCTAATTCATTCATCATATCATACCGCCGGACAAGGGAGAAAATCCAATTCTTCCTTACGAATAGATACTCAATCCCGCGCCCTCCCCTGCACATAATCATTCTCTTTAGCCCTGCAGTGGAGGACGTTGCCTTTTGGTGTCTGACCAGGGGGTTGACCGGTTGGATCCCAGCCCGTATAAATCCCCAGAGGCCGGTGTTGGCTCAACGATCTCCGTATCCTGTCTCCTTCACACTCCATTCCGGAGAGCACTCAATCGATTGCTTCAATGTCTCGGTTATGACAACTCGACTCGTATCCGGCTTGACGTCTTCAAACTGAGTTTGAGCGTTGTGAACAAGCGCCCATCCAACAGGTTCCGAGAAGGCCTTGCCGTCTGTCTCGGCGTATCGAGTGCTGAAAGACTGGATTGACAACTCGACAAATCACAGCACACAATGACGGTTCCAATGGCGGGCTCTGCTGCTGGGGGACGCACCAGAGGCCAAGATGGAAGCCATGACACGCCTCCCTTGTTCCACGCGGCGTCAGAACAGAGGCTGCCGGAGTCGATGACAGCAGCAGCAGCGACGACAAGCGGCAGACGCTCGATCTCGCCATCACCATCGGTCTCGACTTCACAGCGGCAGAATGAGGCGTGGTGGAGCATCCATCCCTTCCGTGGCATGGTCAACGATGTCCGTCGAAGAGCGCCTTACTATGTCAGCGACTGGCTCGACGCGTGGGACTATCGTGTTGTGCCCGCCACAGTCTTCATGTATTTTGCCAAGTACGTGTGTTGAGAGCTTTTGTGGTTCAACAAACCTGCAAGCAAGCAATTACTGACTTGCGTGTTTGATAGCATCCTGCCCGCCCTTGCCTTTTCACTCGACATGTTCCAGAACACGGGATCTAATTATGGCGTTAATGAGGTCTTGCTGGCGTCTGTTCTCGGTTCTGTCGTCTTTTCCATCTTCTCCGCCCAGCCTCTTGTCATTGTTGGAGTAACTGGTTCGTGTGTTACTGGACAATTGTGGTTCTTATTTTGGCTCTAATTCTGATTCCTATAGGTCCCATCACGGTATTCAACAGCACGGTTTACGACATCATGAAACCAACTGGCGTCAATTACCTGGGATTCATGGCCTGGATCGGAATGTAAGCATTCATCTCGCCCTCGACACGCGATATCACTGGCACTAACACACCTGTCTTCAGATGGTCGTTAATCTTGCATTGGATCCTCGCCATTACAAATTCGTGCAACTGGCTGCGTTGGGTTACACGTTTCCCCTGCGACATCTTTGGCTTTTATGTGGCCTTTATCTATCTCCAGAAAGGCATCCAAGTACTTGAGCGCCTCGGCGATGACAGGGCCTTCTACCTCTCAATCGTTGCGGCTCTGTTGCTCTTCATGGTTGCTTACATCTGCGGTGAACTTGGAGGCAGCAGCCTCTTCAGACATCCTGTTCGCGTCTTCCTCAAGGATTACGGGACGCCGTTGACCCTGGTGTTTTTCACCGGCTTTGTCCACATTGGACGCATGTCCCAGGTCCATCTAGCGGTGCTCCCAACCAGTACTGCGTTTGAGCCAACAGGCGATCGAGGATGGCTCGTCAACTTTTGGGATCTGAGTGTTGGGGAGATTTTCACTGCTCTCCCATTTGCCATACTCTTGACGATTCTGTTCTGGTTCGACCACAATGGTAAGATCACACTACCTTTGTCTTTACACCGAATAGCTGGCATCGATGTGAATACTGACGTTGTGGACAGTTTCGTCTCTCATCGCACAGGGAAGCGAATTTCCCCTTAGGAAGCCCGCTGGCTTTCATTGGGACTTTTTCCTGCTTGGTATCACCACCGGGGTCGCTGGCATCCTCGGCCTCCCCTTTCCAAACGGCCTGATTCCACAAGCCCCTTTTCACACAGAGTCTCTTTGCGTCACCAAAGCTGTCAAGAAACTCGATGAAAAGGGCGAAGATAAGGGAGAATATACTTTTGAAGCCACTCACGTTGTCGAGCAGCGTGTGTCAAATCTCGCCCAGGGGCTTCTCACCCTTGGCACCATGACGGGCCCTCTTCTCGTCGTCCTCCATCTAGTGCCGCATGGTGTTCTGGCGGGACTCTTCTTCATCATGGGCTTCCAAGCCCTTCAAGCGAACGGCATCACCGCCAAACTGCTTTTCCTAGCCCGCGATAAGAACCTGACGCCTTCAAACTCGCCTCTTAAATCAATCAAGCGGCGCGCTGCGATCTGGGGCTTTGTCATTGTTGAGTTGGTCGGCTTTGGCGCCACTTTCGCTATTACACAGACCATTGCTGCTGTTGGCTTCCCCATCATCATCTTGCTGCTTATTCCTGTACGCGCCATGGTCCTGCCCCGGCTATTCCGTTCGGACGAATTGGCATTGCTCGACGAGCCAACGGCTTCTGATTTCACCATGGAGGGCATCGGCGGCTCCTGGGGCCGTGGCGAGCAGCAGGCTGGACTTCAAAGCAACGACGATACACGTCTGGCCAGCAGATCATCGTCCTCTCGACGAAGTGTTAATGCTGGAGATGCTCGCCGCGACTACAAGAGTCAAGAGGATCTGGCAGAGCTTGGCCAAGCTCCCCATATGCGAAATACGATCACTAGAAGGAGGAGTGTTGACGCAAGGTCGAGCGCCACGCCAGATACTGCATAGAGCATTGTGGGTGGAATTATTAGGGATGGTAGTGAGGTGATGTGCTGATACCCTGGATAACGAATGAATTTACTTGCATATTGGAGATACCTGGAGTTGATTTGATAATTGGAATACACGCGCATGATTCCATTACAAAGGGGGAATGGGAAAACTGGGGGTTGTAATAGAGTAATGCGGGTTTAACTCGATTCATACACAAAACCACGAGTATTTCTTCCTCGAATATCTACAGTCATTATTCATAATTTCCAGAGAATTCCTTGCAATATTGTTCTACATGTCAAAGACATGATAGCATATATACGCGAATAGACTCGATTTTCTCTTGGTCTCCGAATCGATTCTAATAGTCAAGTCCCATCTAGTCCTCGTCATCGCTGTCTATGACAAACCCACCACGTACCCTCGGCCTGCGTGTCACGACAACAGGGGCATCATCACCATCCTCCTTGGCGTTTGACTCCGACTGCTGCGAATTCACGGGATTGGAAGCGTCTTCCATATCCACGTCTCCATCCCATTCTGCCTCATCCTCCACCACACTGACTCTCCTCTTCTTCCTGCTCTCGCTCTCCTCATCGTTCTCCTCCGCCATGGGGGTATCATCATCCCTACTCTCCACCTCCTCCTCCTCATCGTCGTGGTCGCTGTCCAAACCCAAGACATCGCCATCGCCGTCATCCTCGTCATCATCGTCCGATCGCACCGCAGGAGCAGGCTTCCGCTTCTTCTTCTTCACCTTGTCTATTAGACTAGGCTCCAAAGCAGACTGCGCAGCCCTCGCAGCCCGCGCGGCAATCTCGCGCTCGCGAGCAAAAAACGCCTCGTCCTCTTCCTCGTCAAACTCATCGTCCCCTTCCCTGACGTACACGGCGGACTTGATCTTGCGCGCCTTTTCGCGCTCGCGCTCGCGTCGCTTGCGGGCTTTTTCCTCGAGCTCTTCGTCGTCGAGTTCCTGCGCCTGGCTGTTTCTCCGTCTCCGCTTCCTCGGCTTCTTGGGTCTCTCGTCGACGGCCTTCCTGGCCGTTGGGCCTCCGGGCGCAAACAGGAATTCGTCATCAAGGTCGTCGCCTACATCATCGTCGTCAAAGTCTGCCTTCTTGCGGGGTTGCGTTTTCCTCTTGAGCTGGTTCTCTGCTAGTTGTCCATCGTCAAACGTTGGAGGGTTAAACTCCGCCTGATTGATAAAGTGCAGTGCGTCCTTGAGCGAGTCAGCCGTGACGTCTTCCGGGAACACCCAGAGGGACTCGGGCGTTTCCTCGGAGGCAGGGCCAAACAGCTGGCATCCGCAGAGATTCAGCAAGAGCCGGAGATACGAATTCTTGAACCTGGCGGTTCGTCTCGCGTCACTGTCAGGTTTCACGACTAGACGCAGGTTAGAAAGGCTGCAGAGAACACCTGTGAACAAAACAATAGGGACTTACTAATTGGGGAGGGCTTGCTCGGTTCCTTTGGCTCGTTGGCTTCTGTTGATTCTTCCATGGGAGTTTCTGTTGACCTCAGTACTTCCTCAGCTGCCGCCCATGATCGGCGCTCGCTCTCCGCCTCGGCAACAACGCTCTTCACCCAGGTGATATGATCTGCCTCATTCTTGTCCAGCAGCGCGCCAACCACAATGGCAATTTGACGGTCCCGCTCTTCCGTGTATTTGAAAACAAGTTCGGCTCCAGGTTTCGCCTGCTTCTTAGAAGCAGTCTGCTTATCGTAGCCGTACTCTAGGAAGAAGGCGGTGCTCTGCAGTTTGCTGAAGAGCATTTCGACAATAAGTTCCGGTCTTTGCTCTATCTTCTTGACGCATTTGCGGAGAATCTGCTTCACCAGCTCTTCCCAATCTTTGTACATGCTCGAGGATTTGTCCAGGGGCTCGGGGCCCTTGATCATATTGTATAGTAAATGGATGATGTCCACACGAAAGAGCATCACGCTCATCTCCTGTTTGAACGCGAGGCGGTAGAAATACCGATGGACGCGCTTCAACTGGGCGTCAGTCATGTCGCGATAGAATCGTGTAAACTTGACAAAAGTATCCACCACGCCCTGTGGTGTAAATCGAGCAGCGAAGCGTTGGAAGTCAAACTTGCGCTCCTTGGAGGTACGCTCCGTGGCCTCCTCGTCGTTGGCCGAATCGTCCTGTTCTTCGGCCAGAGCGCCGTCTTCCGTGCTCTGCTGTTGCTGTTGCTCCTTTTTCTTCTTCTGTCGCGTTCGCTTGCGGGAGCGAACCTGCATGTCCGCATTCTGCTTTGAGTATGCTTCCAGAATACGCAAGAAGTGATGGACCAACTCCGTAGCAGCGTCCAGATAGTAGAACCCCTGGTCCTTGTAGGTCCTGATGATGTTTGCAATTGTATCGTGCGTCGACTCCTCGTAAAACAGACGGCTGAGGACGTTTTCTGCGATTTCTTCATCGTCCTCTCGGCCGCTCTCAGACATTGCCTGGACCGTGAGCAGAATCTGCGTAAAGCACCGCATCACCGCAGCCAGCTCCTGCCAGTCCTTGTACTCGTAGGCTTCGTGCATCGCCTTGTTGAGAGTGATGAACATTTCCTGGTTCAAGACACCTGCCACAAGACTGAAGCTGGACACGTCGTCATTGGCCTTGTTGTTGTTGTTGGGCCCTTTCTTCAAAGCCTGCCGGGTCCGCTCAGCCTCGAGAAACCATGCTACCAGGTAGAAGAACTGCCTCCGATGGTACTGCATGACATGCGAAGCCTCTCGGTCGATGGTTTTGCGAACGTGGGAGAACAAGGGATTGAACCCCGAGTCAAGGAACTCCTCGACAAACGAACGGAGCTGACTGGTCGCTCGCGCGTTAAGCTTCGCTGGTAGTCCCAAGTCTCTCTCGTCCTTGTTCTCCTTCTTTGTCCTCCGGGGAGGTTTGAACACTTTGTTGTTGTCCATCTTCAGGTTACGTGCTGTGACATCACTAAGAGCGTCTTGTCCTGTGAGAGACGACATTTTGCCGTCTTCACGCTTGACCCAGATCATGGTGCCAAACCGGTTGTGGCGTGTTGGGCCATTGCGGGCATATGCCTTGTGCATGGCCGACTCCTTGTTCATCAGGGACGCAAGCTCATTTGCCTTTGCCTTGTGCGCTTGCTGCTCCGACATGAACAGCTTCTCGATATCGACTCTCTTGATGAGATGATAGATAATCTCCATCACAGCCATGTCTTCTGTTCTAAAGTCCTCGCCCATGTTCGACGCCAGCGTAAGGAGGAACAAGAATATGTCTTGGTATGAAAAGGCATCGATTGTGGCCGACCGCGAGATCTGCGTCTCGTCGCCCTCGTACTTGACATTGGGGGGAGGCGCAATCATGGCAATGTTGCGGAGGAAGAAGAGCACCAGCTTGATGATGCCCTGGTCCCGCGCTGTCCTGTCGCCAGCGGGAAGCGCCAGCGACGGCAGCGCAGTCCTGACAGCAGCATGGAGGATTCGCGCCTCGTCAAAGTTGATGATGGCCCTCTTGTACTGAACCTGGGCAAGCTCCAACACGGGCATGTGCCGGTGATGGTTGACCGTCATCCGCTCCTTGTCACGCTCCAGGGGCCATGTCAACGGCACCATGATCTCGAAGCACGACAGCGCAATCCGAGACTTGTATTTGCTGTCGGTGGCATTCTCGGGCCAGGTCGCCAGGATCGGGAGCAGGTCGCCTTCGATGAGGTTCGCCTCGTGGATGCAGCGGGCAACGTCCATGCGGTTCGTCTTTTCGTCGTAGAAGCGGATCCAGCGTTTGATATCGCGGAGGACCTCCAGGGCATCGTCGCCCAGGTGGTATCGGCCATCGTCTTCTGTGCTTGCGCCTCCCAGCTGTGTTCTTTGTCAGTACCGAAGCTCAATATCCATCGGACAAAGCTAGGGAGTGCATACCGCGGCAACGAGGCTGCTGATGTGTGCCCGAACTTCGGGATGGACAATGTCTGTGGTGCCGTCAGCCAGCTCCATGGCGACCGTCTTGTTGCGTGAAGCTGTTATGGATCAATATGAGAGCGTATCACGCATAGCCGGCAGCACCAGGAACTGTAAGAGGGAGAGACAGCTGCGAATGAGTCGTCAATACATCTCCAACATAGGTATGTGGTCAATCGTCAGACAAGGTACCTCGACCATTCTGCATCCAATGGAGGCAATCTACAGCCCCTCCAGCACGCGTCTCCCAACTAAACCTGACGCGCCTCAAACTATTGCAGCAGCAACCAATTTACGCGGTCGATAAGCGGCCCGGGTGATTGTCGGCCCTCCGATAAGCCTTTCAGCGCGCTCAAAACCCCCCAAAATGCCGGCCGCAAATGGGCCGAGGTTACCCGACCCGGGTTGCGGCAAGCCCATATTAAAGCTGCCCGTTATACTACCTCGTTTAGCCGGCCCGGGAGACTCACCGTTCTACTCTCTATTCCTACTCTTTCATAGAAGATCAAAGCACAGAAAATGGCCAGCTCAATTCTTCGAGGAAGGGCGCTGGGGGCGGTGCGCCAGTCGCGCTGCTTCAGCTCTACTCCCAGGCAGTGTGCTGCCGACGTCAAGAGTCTCGGTGTCCTCGGCGCCGGCCAGATGGTAGGATGTCCCGCTTACACGTGAAAGACGACGGGAGCCTGTTCTGACGCTGCGTGCTTCCAGGGCCTGGGAATTGCTCTTGTTGCTGCGCAAAAGGCACAGGTCCCAGTGACTCTTGTCGATGCCTCCGAGCAGGCGCTGAGTAAAGGCATTGCGTTTGCCGGTGCGTTTGGGGAAGCCTCGAGCCCTGGTGCTGTGATGTCATGACTGACGGCCCGTGATAGAGAAGCTGCTGGCCAAGGATGTGTCCAAGTCCAAGATTACTCAGGAACAGGCCGACCAGGCTCGCTCGCTGCTCAAGCCGAGCACCAAGATTGAGGACTTCTCCTCTGTCGACTTCATCATCGAGGCTGTGCCCGAGATTCCCCAGCTCAAGTTTGACATCTTCAGCAAGCTGGCCAAGATTGCCCCCTCTCACGCAATCCTGGCAACCAACACGTCTTCAATCTCCATTACACGCATTGCTGCGGCCACTACTACCGATCCTAACGACACCTCGGCTTCATCTCGAGTGGTCTCCACTCACTTCATGAACCCGGTCCCCGTCCAGAAGGGCGTTGAGATTATCAGCGGACTGCAAACCAGCAAGGAGACTCTCGACACGGCCGTTGAGTTCTGCAAGAAGATGGGCAAGATCACGTCCGTCTCGGCCGACTCTCCCGGCTTCCTCGCCAACAGAATCCTCATGCCCTACATCAACGAGGCCATCATTTGCCTGGAGACGGGCGTTGGCGACAGAGACTCCATCGATGCCATTATGAAGAATGGCACCAACGTCCCCATGGGACCACTGCAACTTGCAGACTTCATCGGCCTTGACACGTGCTTGGCTATCATGAAGGTTCTCCATACGGAGACGGGCGACTCCAAGTACCGCCCAAGCGTGTTGCTGGGAAAGATGGTGGATGCGGGCTGGCTGGGCAAGAAGAGCGGAAAGGGTTTCTATGACTATTAGCGCATGGAAAGATACAGTATCCGCCATCACGACCATGTGGACAAAGTAATCAAACCTGTACATAGCTTGCCACCCGTGTGAAGCTTCACACGCTGGAAACCTGAGTTCAAGGAGAATTTCTCTTCGTACCTGTTGTTACCGCATGTGCTGTGATAGTATGCAAGTTGTACTACTAGCTGTCGATACCTTTCTGTGTCACAGTTAATGCAGTAGGTCACCTTTCTTTGTCCTTATGCCCAATTGGGCCATTGATTTGACCAGACTTTTCTCTTTGATCTGATGTCATGTCTACACCTCCCCATTGGCGTGAAAGCCTCCATACCTGTTCACGCACATGATTCGCCACGAACCCCGGTTCTGCCAACGCGACACTCGAGGTCACGAGGCTATCAAAGTAAAAGCACGGCAATATATCATCACAGCTGCAACAAGGTTGAGCATCCGCCATGGTCAGCATCAAGTTGCAAAGTGGGTTGACCTGCATATGCCGGCAGAGGTCGAGTGATGGCGAGACGGACGACCTTCTGCATCAATGACTTATGAGAAGCTGATTGCATACGACTGCTACCTTGTCCACTTGAGCATCATCCACTTCTGTACGCATCCCGCTACTATTCACCGCAAAGTAATCACAAAGCAAATGAGCTTTTCAAACTTGCAGATGCTATTTACATGAGCTGCAGTCATACAGCCAGCCACATGTATGGTCTTCGTAGTACCTCAACTTCGTATTCTTCCCTTACCCACCGAAAAAAAGGGCTCGAGACAAGGCATCTGTCTAGCGTCTGTGCTCCCAGCGTTTCAGCGCTAGGCAAGTCATCCGAAGGGGGCTAATAATAGATCCATTGATTAGAGATCGGACTTGTTCCTGGCGAAATGTCTCACCAAGCCTTATAGCAACGATTCGTTAAGACCCCAACTGGCACGACGGACGACAAAGTGGGCGTTGCGAGGTGAGATACATACATTGCAACAGGCGGGAGCTGTGAAGGTACCTAGGCAAGGCACAAAGTACAGTACTACCTAAGGAGGTAGGTAGATATCAAATTGGAGATTGGAGGCGAGGGGGAGGACCGCGTCCTGCATTATGAGTATTACGGAATACTCGCCGAACGTCTACTCTCGCTACGCCTCCCTGCCGATCAGGAGAGCAACATCATCGTCCTATGAGGGATTCCCTTCTGGGCCAGCCAGAAGGCCTATTATCTGGCCACACATGAGAAAATTTTCAACGGCACGCGGGTGGCCTAGTAATGCGCAACTAAAAGATGATGCAGCAAGCCCGATGCTCTCATGCATGATGCGGCACTCGCACCGATTCTCCCTTCAGCTCTTGGCATAGTCTGAGCAACTCAGCCGTCCTCGGCGCCGCAGAGCGGACCAAACGCCGACGGAAGAGTCACTCGTCGACCAAGGGGAGGGGGAAGGGGAAGGACAGAGACGGAGACGAAGAAAGGACGGAAGCATGGAAACGGTGCCACGCTGGCGATCTGTCACTCCACCTGGCCACCCGTGTTTGCACTCACGCTTGTAAGAGTACAAGTACTCGTATGCCAGTAGACTCCATGTTACGCCGCCAGAGCCAGGATTCTGCTCGTGAGATTGAGGCTGAATTGAAGGATTGGCCTTTCCCCTCTGCAATTACGTGGACGGCTCGACCACGCCTCCTGCCAGGCGCGGGAGGGAAATTAGACGAGCATGTTTGCTCATCCGACGCCGCCCAGGCCCTCTCGGACATGTGCAGATGCAGCAGATACAGAGCCCAATGCCTGCAGGCGTTGACCTCATCGGAAAGCTGTTGCGTCCGGATGGCGTCCACACAAAGTCGAGGGTGTTATCCACGCCAGTGTTCAGCTTCTGCAACCCACGACCGGGTTGCTGATGAGAAGTGATTTCGATTTCCGGCTAATTAACGCCGGCATGTACAGTACTCGTACAGGATTCGGACTCCGCACTTGCGGCAAAGCAGACAGGCGGCAGCAATGAATCTGCATACTGTACATGTATGTATGTACTCATCTCGTATGTATGTATGCGACTCGGGGGGGCAGATCTCCCGCCTGCTGAGGCGATGATTAAAGACCCGGTCTAGTTCGAGGGAGCATGTGCCCAGCCCATGTGTCCGCTATGGCTTGCAGCACGGAACAGATTTCTGTGCAAGGCCTTGCCTGGCAACCTGGCACTGGCAGAGGTGGTCGAGGTACAACCCTCGTGTGTATGTATGAAGTAAATTCGCGCGTTAGGGTAGCAGTATCTGCCTTCATCCACGAGCCTGCCGATACCTAGGTAGAATCAAACAAAAGGTACAAGGGTAAAGAGAGGCACACGCACGCCACACAGGCACACCCCAAGGACCTTACTTACCTTGGGTACCCCTACGAAGCTTGTTTTCCATAGCTCCCAGGTTGGCATCGTGGCAACACTGCCTCGTCTGCCAGAGTAGAAATACACGATTGCCTTTGCGCCCGCATATGATCCCGAGCAGAGGATAGGCATCACAGCAGCTATCCATCCTCCGGCTTGCTCGCCACACCACCTGCTGGATGCAGTAGGTCGAGAACCAACGGCAACTGGCGTGAGGGAACGCTGCCATTGGGCCTTCGGGCAACCTTGGAGTAGAACCGAGAATTCCTCAGGGCCACCACGCTTCCTAAACAGAGTCCAGGTCAGCACGCGTCGTTTCTTCTCTTCACAATTCCTTTCTTTTTCCCCCCTCCCCCCCTTCTTCCTCTCCCCTAAAGCCGGGTACCTTGCTTTCTCATCTCTCCAACGCGCCAGCAGACGCAGCCAGCGAACTATAAGGGGTGATTCTACCTTACCTAGGGGACTCGTCGTACAAGTACGAATCCAGTACGGTACAGCCAGACGCGCAGCGCTCCGGATGAGTCGCAGCACCTCGAAATGAAAGGCCCGGCTGCTCCATCTGCCTCTCCATCGTAAGGCCTTTGCTGCCCCTTCGGGCGGGAACTAGCACTGACTGAGGCATTGGCCCGGGCTTCGATTGGATCGCGCTCCTCTGAGCTCCCCGCTTTCTCGCGCAGCGAGTGCATCCCTGGCCTGGAAGCAAGCCAGCCAGCCTGTGAGCGAGCATGTGCATGTGAGGGCCGGAACAAGAGACCGGACCCAAAGCCCAAGCCTAGGACCAAGACCAAGACCAAGACCGGGGGCGTCGCAAGGCGTCAGGCGCGGGGAAAGACTCGAGAGGGCCGCGACGCGAGGCTACGCGAGAAGTCCTGAAATCTAGGAGACGGCCAGCCATTGGCGGAAGTCCAGGGTAGGGGCACGGAGGGAACAACGCCGGCTGGTGCAGGTACCAATAGGGTCAAGTGCTCGTAAGGTACAGGTGCAGGAACAATGGAAGGGTTGAGGTTGCCGATTGCGAAAGTGCGTGAGCGTGTAGGCCAGTCAGTACTCGTACAGGAACCGCTGCGGTCGGCGGCGGCGAGGCACATGAGCAGGTACGGGTACATGGGATTGGTGCCTGAGGTAGCACTACAACGTCTCTGGGAGGGGAGTGGTGATAACGTCGACCTTGCACCCTCCCCTGGCACAGCCTTGCTCTCTTTCGTCGTGTTTTCTCATTGTTCTGCTCTTGTTGCTGCCCGTTCCTTCATCCGGCCGCTTCTCTCGTGGAGGGTGACATTCAGCAAGCGATCATGAGTGGCCAGGCAAGGTATCGAGTACGGCGTTTGTGCACGTCGTGACGGGTCCTGCGCAGGTATCCCCTCTGCTGCGAGGTGATGGGACTGACCCTTCGGAGCTTCTCGAGATTGAAACCTGCGTGCGTGCGACCCTGTACGAGTACCTGTACGGGCACGATACGGCCAAGGGCCAAGGCCATTTGCCCCATCTGCCTACCCAGGTACCTACCTTATGCACACACAGTCGTGCGCACATCGACAGAAGACTGCTCCAGGACCAACAAGAGCCGGCTCTCCGCTGCACTTGCTCCGCTTCAAACGACATCTAGGGAGTCCTGCCAGTGGTTAGTACCTATCGTACTGGGTAAGTAGGGTACTTGCTTATTCCCTATCATCACTTGCTGGAGTCTGACAGTGCAATTCGGGCTGCCGCAATGTCCCGATAGTACTACCTACCTACTGAGGCACGCACCCTCATCACCCTGGTGAAGACAAGACGACGGCACTTGAAAGTACAAACACCAGCTCGGCCGTTCTTGACACTTGCCGGGGCAGCCCTGGCCCATCGGATGGTCCAGTCTTTCTCTAGCTGCTTCACAACCGCGGCAACTCGAAGCTCGCACTCGTGCTACGGCTGACCGGGGGGGCCCTCTTTTCCCCTTCTCCCAGACAGGGAGCAGAAGCTCCAAACATGACTTCCAAACGGCCAGACCCGCTGCGTCAAACATGTCGACCCTTGCTCAGCGAGCCAAGTGGTCCTGAGGCTTTCCCACTTCCGACATGGCGGCTACTTGCGTCCGCGTGGCCGGCGCCCATCCGAAACCTGGCACGAAAAGCCATGTGGTCGGATCTTGCCTAATACAACGTGCTGTTTTTGCTGCTGCCAGGCGTGATGCTGGCGAAGCAAGGAGACCAGACAAACGCCATATGATTGCTTCGTAGACCGGCCGACGGTTGGGCAGGCCGACGACGGGGCCTTGGAAGACTCGAGCCCCAGATAGTCTTGCTACCCGTGGACACAATGCGATACCTCAGCTCTGTCGCGCCGCGCCGCGTGCGACCTTTCGGGACTTTCCCAGCTCGCGTCATTGGCGGCACGAGACGCACAAGGCCGTTGACAGAAGACTTATCCGTTCAGCGCAGTTGTTTCGACTGGGGCAGCAACAGCGGTCTAGCAGATTCGCGAGGCTTGTCTGACCTGCAGGTCTCTCTTCTATCATACACCACACATACTAACAACGACTGACTACAATGCGGATGTCGTATTGCCTGCGACGTGCCTCTGACTCGCTATCCTCTCCCCGCGCCGCCGTGTTCCTGGATTTCATGCTTATATCAACTATCCTGACGGGCTACCTA